TGAACACACTAAAGGTTGATGCTAATACGAGAATCGAATGAGGGAAAACGTAAAAGACAGAAGATTTACAATCGGTTCTGCTGGAAGTGGCTGTAGGAGATTTCGGTAAGAGCCCACACATAACTGCTTCTGCAGTGCTCCTATACTTCAAGAGAACTTTCGAGTTCGATAAATCCTTTGAACTAAGTAAACTTACCCGGGACAAGAGAACCTGCAATACAATACGATTCGAGTCATTCACCTAATTAAGAACGAGCATTCTTCAATTCACCTAATTGAGAACGAGGAAATAGACAAATACCTGCACTCCCGCGAGTTTGTTATCCCAGCTAAACCAGGTTGGATTTCCAAAACTAGCAAATTCGTCCCCGTTGTCCCCGGTCACATACTCATGATACGATTGATCTCCCGTTGCATGATAGAGCCAGGTCGCTGCCCACAAGAGTTCATCACCGTATCCCGTTGAGTTATAATACGTGGCAACTTTAGGAATGTTTTCACTGTAAGATCCTCTGTGTTTGTCAGCAAAAGTAAACAACTGTTTAGCGTGCTTCAGAAGCACGCTCGAGTATTCAGAGTTGGAGGATCTAAACACGAGGGACGCTGCTGCCATAGCTGCCGCAGTTTCAGCTGCAACTTCGGTTCCCGGGACAGAAGCGTTAATTTGGGTAAGAGGCCTCGATTCAGTCATGTCTTCAGGCCTTTGCCAGCATTTATGGTCTAGGTCGGGATCACCCACCTGGCAAACCATGAAAAAACGCCAGTATAATTGATTACCACTGGCAGACACAAAGTGGACCGAACAAGTTCTGATACCATGTTAGAATCAAAGAAACCATACTAAAAGACCGAATACAATCAATTAGCTAGTCTAGCCATAGCCTTATAAACTCATACTTTTCTCTCTTATTTTCAATGTGACTCTTAACAAAACCGAAATAGAACATAAGCAACAAAAGTACATAAACGGGAAGATTAGAGCAACCTGAATGTAAAGGACGTTGTCATCAGGATGCGCGTTGACAAGGTAGTCAGTGATCCATTTGAGCGAACCTTTGGCGGGTTCTAACTGTTTCACTACCGCCATCTGATCACCATACTCGAGGATCGTCCACGCCAATACTGTCGCAGTATACGCCATCGGGAACCCGAATTTCATAAGGTCCCCAGCATCATACATTCCTTTACTCAGATCTAGACTCGCTGATTTGCCATCTTTGAGACCGGAATCCCCTCGCCACGATATTTTGTTGTCTACCAACTTCCCAGCTGCAACATCAATTCGCTTTTCAAGCCTCGGATACACACACTACTGAAAATTATTGAATTTCCGACCACGATCTTAAATCAAGTCGAAAGTCGAAAGTCGAAAATAGCAACAAAGGTTTTTCCAAATACCAAAAGTGGTCGGAAAAGGACTTTAGACTGATTTAAGGTGGTCGAAAATTCCATAATTTCCAACATTTCCAGCAAACGAAAAACACATAACTAAGGGGCAACCTCAGTCAAATTGGTCAAACTAATGACTTGATAAGTACAAGGTTTCAGTTCAACTCAGATTTATTTACCCAAAATAAAGATCCAAAAACAAAGAAACTTAAAGAAATATAGAAAGAGAGGCTGAGAGGTTTTACACTTCTGAACATCGAAGAACTGCATTGCGATCTTGAGGGCGTCGCCGTATTTCTGAGTAACGGCGCCGGGAGGCCCGGGAACAGGGGCGGCATCCGGCTCCGACGAGCCGCCGCCGCCGTGTTTCTTCTTCACAAGCACGAAAATGGAAACCCCAATCGCCGCCGCAACTATCACCACCAGCAGCCACCCGCACCAACCCCCTTTCGACCTCGACTTATCCCCCATTTTCTCCCCACCTGCATTCCCAACAAAAACGACCCACCACTCAGATCTACATTGACTTGCCAAAAAGCTCCAATCTTTACCCAAAAATCAGCAAAATATATCACCATTAAGTAACATAGTTCGAGAGTACAAGAGTTCAGTACCTTTTATACAGGAACTTCTTTGAGTTCTTCCCACAAAAATCAAATCTTTCTTCTTTTCTTCTTCTTTTGAGCTTGAATGTTGAGAATGGAAATGTCGGTGAGAGGAGTGGAGAGATGTATGGTTGATAGGGGCAGAGAAAAACAGTTGGTGAGTCTGTAAAAATGGGCTTTGCTGATGCAACACAGCACCGACAGTTAACCCGCTGACGATGATTGTTCGATCAAAGATCAAATGTATTGCTTCAAGTTCAGGTTTTGCCGGTCAGGGTGGAAATTACGAGAATGCCCTGCTATTATTTGTATGGAATCTTGTATTTGGGGGTGTAATTGACTGCGAGATTCGTGGGTACAAACATCTCACCATAGTCCATAGCGTACTAATTATTATTATTTTTGGTCTAATATGTTTTATTTTTAATAAATTATAGTAAATAAAACATTTATTAACAAAAATGTTACACCATATTTTGAATTCTTATAAGCGCATCACCATCAATGATTTCGTGGGAGATTTTGGCAGGTTTTAAATCTATGTGGAGAAGAGAGAATGGTGAATTCCTCCTGCAAGACCTAAGTTTTTTGGGAGAGAAGACAGAAGACAAATGTAGTTGTGCCCGTTTCACGCACATACCGTACCCAGCTGGGCGCGTGCAATGCAAGTGTCGACTGACGCGTTAACTACGTTGCTTTTCTTTTTCTTTCTTTTTTTGCATAACATTTACTTTTTCTTTTTTTTTCCCCTCTTTTTTCTTCTTCTCTCCTTGTTGCTCTAAACTAGAACTATGCACACAACAATGTCACATCCATTCTCTTTTTTTGTTTTCATTGACCAAATTCGAATTTTGCATATAAGTCTTGGAGTACATGTACACTAGTGCTCACAACAAGATCAAATTCATACCTTCTTTTTTTTTTTTTTGTCATTAGTATGATTCATATACTAATAGTCACAGCAAGACCCTTATTTTGTTCCGTAGTAAGATTCAAACACTACATTATTACGGCTAATAACATACAACTTATATGTATTCCAATTAAACGTAAGTACAAACCTAAAATTATATATTAACTAAAAAAGCGAACTTAATTTTTTTCTTTTATATAAATAACTTTATCAATTGTATACCAAAACTTTTACACCTTTCAGAATAAAGAGAGTCCATCTTATATAGAAAATCATAATAATAAAGTGTTTTTGGGGGTTGAAGGTTATGGAGAGAATGAGAGATTGAAGTGAGTTTCCATTTGTAATTTGTTCGGCAGCTGCGTGCTCAAGTAGATCAGCCTCGTGGACCAGTGATGATTCGGCATTTCGGCGAACCCTTTGCAATAAAATGTATTATATCGGTTGAAATATTTTAAAATCTCGAGATAAAAATAGTGTCGATATGTCCGAGTGGTTAAGGAGACAGACTTGAAATCTGTTGGGCTTTGCCCGCGCAGGTTCGAACCCTGTTGTCGACGATATTATGTTTTATGGTTCAGCCTTAATTATAGACTTATACTTCGAGATATGCCTATTTGTCCCGAGAAGTCATCAGTGTCGATATGTCCGAGTGGTTAAGGAGACAGACTTGAAATCTGTTGGGCTTCACCCGCGTAGGTTCGAACCCTGTTGTCGACGATACTATGTTTTACGGTTCAGCCTTAATTATAGACTTATACTTCGAGATAAGCCTATTTGTCCCGAGAAGTCATCAGTGTCGATATGTCCGAGTGGTTAAGGAGACAGACTTGAAATCTGTTGGGCTTCGCCCGCGCAGGTTTAGTTAAAAAAAAAAAATTTCGCGCGTGTTTTGCCGCGTTATTTTTTTTTTTTGATTATGAATGTACAGTTATGCCGTTATGAATGTACAGTTATGCCGTTATGAATGTACAGTTATGCCGTTATGAATGTACAGTTATGCAATTATGAAATTATGAAAACAGAGCTCTAACATTATGAACTTACAATTATGAACATATATAGTGATAAAATTATGACCATGGAACTTTAAAATTGTGAATATAGAGCTTCGAAGATTATGAATGTACAGTTATAGAGTTATGAATCTACAGTTATGGAGTTATGAATCTACAGTTATGAGATTATGAATCTACAGTTATGGAATTATGAATGTACAGTTATTGATCGAATTATGAACAAAGAGCTCTAACATTATGAACTTACAATTATGAACATATAGTGATAAAATTATGAACATAGAGCTCTAAAATTGTGAACATAGAGCTTCGAAAATTATGAATGTACAATTATGGAGTTATGAATGTACAGTTATGAAGTTATGAATGTACAGTTATAGAGTTATGAATGTACAGTTATAGAATTATGAACGTACAGTTATGGAGTTATGAATGTATAGTTATTAACATATAGTAATAAAATTATGAACATATACTTCTATAACAAAGTGATCTGAAATTAAAAAAAAAAAAAAAAAAAAAAAAAAAAAAAAAAAAAGAGATAACAGTGCCTAACGGCACTGTTACCCGTGTCCAGCAAGCATGCTGGACACGGGTCCAAGGCATAACGATTGGGTTTGAACCCTGCTGTCGACGGTAATATGTTTTTACTGCTTCAGCCGTAATTATAGTTCCAATATGCTTATTTGTCCCAAGATGTCATCAGTGTCGATATGTCCGAGTGGTTAAGGAGACAGACTTGAAATCTGTTGGGCTTCGCCCGCGCAGGTTCGAACCCTGCTGTCGACGATCATGTGTTTTTACTGCTTCAGCCTTAATTGTGTCCCCCATATGGCCATATGCCTATTTGTCCCACATCGAGGGAAGAGGAAATCCAGCATTTTAGAACAAAAAAAATCATTTAAAAGTGTTACTTGTGCCATCGTTTCAATTTTCAATAATTTGGAATAAAAATGTTGTTCCAAACGTTAGTCAAAACGGATTTGCCACAACATAATATAATGTCATTGTTTACCGAAAGAAAGAAGACAAGGAGAGTAAAAAGGGCCACTTAATAATAGAGAAAGATAGTAATAAGAAAGGAACGCAACTTTTTCCATTATAAAATGGCTACATTATATTTTTGTATTCATTATTTATTTCAATATTTCCAGCAAAGCTCCAGCTCCGATTTATTGCTAACTAAACTAAATATGCTTTCTATTGCAAGTCAATCCAACCTTCAACTGCTCTGAGAAAACAAAAAGCTGTATAATTAGAGTATATACAGTGTCTGCTATAGGCTTTGTTTCTTCTGCTGTTCCAACATCATATCTAGGCTACCGGAACTTGTTATCTGTTGTTAAGAATCTTCGCGTCCCCATAGTTCTGTTGCGCTGACCACCTGATCTGAGCACAACCAGTAGTCATCGCCAAACTGCAGATTGAGAAAACCCCGAGGTTTTAATTGTAACATCATTTCATGTTGACTGATGGAGTAGATATACGGGAAATACAAAGATGGTACTGCTATGGTGTGTACTTACACTGGCATGAGAGGGCATTATCTTGTGAATCTGGGATAGCTTTGTGGTGTTCAGGGTCGAAGTATCTGAAGAAACTGAAGACATTGTGATGTCCATTTTGTTGTCTCCGCTACCCTTCCCAGTTAATGAATCTGAGGATATTGCATGCTTGACGTTAACATCCTCATGTTGCCCATCTTTTTTGCTACACGTGCACCAAAGATAGCCAGCAGAAAGTGATTAGTAAGCACGTCTGTGGATTTTTAATGTTTTCTGAGGATGGATTGATTTGATTCTATACACCAAATCTCAGTACAAGTCAACAAAGAGAGCTAGAGGGAGAAAGGGGATGGGATTATCTATCCACAGGCTAGACTTCCAATACGTTATAATGAATACCTCAAGAGGTACAAGTCTATTGGCCCGGTTGTGCTTCGAACAATAAGCCTGTAATGCTTCTCAGGGAAAACACCATCCTACTCACACAGATACCCAGAGTGAAACACAGTATACATGATTTCATAATGCTAAAAGCTCAGTTACGTACCTCACAAGGATCAGGAACTTTAACTGAACTTGCATATGGGGCTTTTACAGCTATAATAGTTTGATCCTGTGGAACAGTATGTGCTTTTAGAACAAGAAACCAAATAATGTACATGTACATGGGCACATTACACAAGAGATACCAACCCTGAAGCGTGGTAGGCTCATGATATCGTCCTCTGTCAAAAAGAGGTTCCTGGAAAAGAGTCAAAATGGATGTCTAGGAATTAGTAAGATGAATAGTAAATTGCAGACATGAAAAAGGGACAAAGAGCATACTTCTGGCAATTTAAATCAGATTCAAGGGCCCTTAATTGCTCTAGCTTTTTCCTGAAGAGTATATAAAAGACATTAGCCCTGTATTCTAAAACTGATAATTCAAAATCATCTCTCCTGTACTCTGATGGCTGGCAAACCTTATGCAATAATCAAGCTGTTGATCTTCAGTATACAAGTGTTCAACTTCAGCCTGTCATGAAGCTAAAAGCTGTGAGCACATGGAGATTAGAAAAATATATGTTTCCTTTTAAGTTAAAAATTATAAATACAAAACTAATTTGTTGGAAAAAACAATGGAATAACTCATAAGGCAGATTCAAACCCTCTGCCCCAAAGAAATACAGTCGTTATTTCATTCCTAAAACTTAAAGCCTTTATGGAATAGTCATTCCAAACTTTTAAAGAATAGTGCTTCACTTGCAGCAAATTTATACAAATACAAGTAGAACATTTCTAAAGAATAGTGCTTCATTCTTAACATTTTGTTCAACGGTAAGACAAAACTAGTAACCAGTATGCCATTGCACTTACCTTTTCTATCACCAGCAATAAGACTTCAAAGTTTTAAATCATGCAATTCACTGAAAAGTAAAGGTTGATTGGAATGGAGGTATTATTTGTTGCATAGGGTTTTTTGATACATTTTAGCTATATATGGTCAGCAGATAGAGTTGGTTCAAAATGGAAAAAACAACATAAGAGACAGCTTCTTCTTTTTTTTTTTTGGTGTGGGGTGGGGGGTGGCGGAGGAAAATGGCTTTCAGAAATTGGATTATTGTAGAATATATACAGAAACTATAGCAGTAACAGTCTTTAATTTTTTGCACTTAGAATACTTCACATGCAAAGATTACACATTATGTTTACTGTGAGTGCATTGAATTTATACATACATCACTGCAATCAAATACATTTTCATGAATGAAGCATTTGTATAAAGTTTAAAATATTAAGAAATTACAAGCGAAGAGATTTTATAAATTTGAAGAGACCACCTTCAGTCGATAGACTTGATCTTGTAACTCTCTTGATTCAGTTGTCTCAAATCCTCTGTGAAGATCAATCTAGAGGTCATAACTCAAAAGCATATAACAATATAAAAAAACATGAGAAAAATATCAGCTATTTTACTTCCAACGCATGTGATTCTTTTTAGTTTTCTCTATTACGCCCACTCCTTCAAGCACATTTGTAATATCATAAATCCTCCTCTTCTGCACCTGCATAGAAAAGTATACTCAAAAGAAGGGAAGAGAAACAAAAATAGAAGAGGACAGAGAGAATTTTAACTGAGGATCACTAGTCAAAACCCAGTCACAAGTTTGCTTTGTAGCTTATAATTTATGAAATGCTTCACCTCCAAAAGATCTGCAGAACGGTTCAGATCAAGGGTGCCATCTTCAGCTTCCTGGATCAACTGGATAAATTTTTTGGTCAACAAGCCTGACAAAAATCATCATATTCACGTAGTTAAATCTTGCTGTCAGTAGCATATTTTCCACGAAAATAACAAATAGATCAACCACGCATTTTAGACATCTAGCATTTACTATGGTTGACTTACCCAAGGAATTGTCATAACGACAACTGCCAGCTACAGTAAGGCTATCAAGAGGATCTGGTAGACAGGCAAATGATAAATGAACAAAGTCAGTGTCCTCAAAAACAATGCAGCATCAACTCAAAATGCAGTGTATTCTCTTCATGTAACCTGAGTTTATTCCCTGAGTGCCATACTTGGCACGCTTTGTAGCCCTTGCTTTACGGCATTCTGCAGCAAAAGTTGCTTGTTGAAGCAGAGAATTATTGGCAGTCTCAGCAGTCTTTTGAACTTGAATTGTCAGAGTTTTAATATTATCAGCCTCAGAGCAGCCAGTCACATTTTTCTTAATTAGACAACAAAAGATTTGTAAGCTAAGATATAAATATGAGACTTGAAGCAAATTTATATTTGTTCTTACTTACAACAGAATCCAAATAGAATAAAGAACCAAAATTGAATCAAATCAATGGACAGAAATCATAATATAAATATGCCAACAGCAGTAATCTTGAAACCACATTTCTAAAAGTACTAAACATCCCCCCTTTCCACCATATCATAATGGTGGTTTATACTTTATACTTTATAGAATTCCACCTAGAACTCTAGAAGCGGATTCATGCAATTCTATCTAGCAGTTGTATTTAATAATAATAAATGCGCCCGCAATACAAGCCAGGAAAGCAAGCACATTTTTACACATGTTCTTCAAAAATGCACAGGTGGCACAAGACTAACAGTTTAGCCAACATGGCAATAAATCCTAACTTTATCCAGAGATACAGTCAAGAAAACATAATATAAATATACTATGCATTTCCACACAACATAAAAGCAAATGAGGCAAGAAATCCAAGAATATGAATTCTGATCACTAGCAATCTCCTCAACACAGCTCTAATTTGTACCGACTAGTAAACCAAGGTTAAGAATCCACACATCATCGTATACAACTGCAAGTGAGATCATAAAATGATGAACCAAAAATTGCAACTCAAGAGCATGCAAGCAGCAATAAGGTAGCACTACAAGAGTAAAAACAAGTTGAAGAACAATATGCCGCAAACAATCTAGCAAAGTTAAGGCTCAACAACACAACGCAGAGATAGAATTACCAAAATGACAGCCTCGAATTAACCTAGAAATGAATTTCGGAAATTCTAAAAGCAACAAATATAGCTTGATTAGTTTCCGATCATGCACTGAAAACAAAAAGAGAGAGTGATGCGCAGATACAAGTGATGTAAATACTGACAGGAACAAAAACGTCGAGAGGAGCGGAATGCGGCTGAGCAGAGGCTAGAGGCGGAGATTCCGTGCGAAAATCGGAGACGGCGACAGGATGAGGAGGAGGAATGAGAGCGAAATGGTGAGGCCGACAAGACGGAGGAACGAGGCGCGGAGCTTTGGAATCCAGATGAACTTGGGAGAGCGTCAGATTGAGGTCAAGGTCGAGGTCTTCTCCAGAAGCCGCCATTGCAGAGTGAAGAGTAACCGACGAAAAGCAAACAGTGTATGTATCTTTGAAGATAGATACAAATTGATGTAGAGAGAGAAAGAGAAGGAAGCAAAAGGGAGGAGGGTAGAGAATTGTAACTTCAAAACAGCGGGAATGACGGAGGGGTGGAGGGCGGGATTGGGGAAGCGGTGAGTTCGAATCAGAATTTGCCCCGCCTCCGCTCCTTCTCTCTCCTCCACTCCTTTGACGGGTTTTAGGCCCAAATCACCTTAAATGGGCCTGTAGTCGGCTTCACGTTTACATATTTCCAAGTTCAAACCTTAGTCCGATCCATATACTTATCCGAGGATTGTGTTTTTTTGGCTGTTATCCCGCACTATGAACTTTCCCAGATTCTTCATGTCGTACCTTAAACAATCTGAAGAAGTTTATAGTGCGGGATGATACTCCAGTCATTTTTAAACTCAAAAAAAACATAAATAATTATTCATAGCATAATTATAGTTATTGTTTGATATAATCGTGGAGGCATGTGACCTTCTGTTTAAAATGTTATTAATAATGTCATCAGATCATAAGATACTTCACAACATTCTTTACCTCTGTAATTTCTGTATTTGTGTTAAATATTGTGTCTAGATAATATTTCAGTATGATTCTGTTTGAGTGGTTGACTTAGCACTGTCGTAGATAAGTCAGTAGATCAGTGAATCGTCTTGGTACGGAAATTAAAACAAACAGAAGTAAAAGATACAAAATATTGTTTACCTAGTTCGATACAGTGTGTATCTACGTCTGGAGGACGTCACCGTTGCGTCCAATCCACTAACTCATAATCCAATGTACAAAGATAGAGAAAAACGATCTCACCCAAGTGCCCCACACAAGGTCAGTACCCAGTCTACAGAGGTTTAGTGGATTGTTGAAGTCGGAGAGCCGCGCATCCAGAAGTCCAATGAAATCCCTTCAATGGAGAGCTAATTCTGATGCAGTCCGCTTCACTGACGCAGTCCCACGTTGTTACCACAACTGAGTGATCTTCGCGTCCACTGGTTTAAGCATGATTGATTCTTCTCAAGTTCATCTTCTTAAGCACCATGAACTGTATTTCTTGAGAAGGGATGGAATAGCCATAGGTGGGTATTCTTTTAGTATTGAGAGTGTTGGCTTCAAAGCATTCAACCCTAACTTGTGAAGGCTTGTATGCATAAATACTTATTGTCTTTAATTCTCTCCAAAAATAGCTCTGGTTGTAAAAGGTAGGACTTGTATAGCTAATCAATCTTGATTCTTTAAGGAGATTTCGTCCATGCCTAAGGAGAGATGATTTACTGATATTCTTTCTTGAAATATAACCTCAAAACCGCGTTTGCAAGCTCATACGCGTCTTCAATATATAGATGATCTCCAACGATTTTAATTTTGAGACGCTCTGTCGGAATATCTGATCAATCAGAACTTCAGTCTTCAAACTCTGATAGACTCTAAAACAGAAAACCTATCTAATTTGCCATAATAATTTTGCCAATTACATGTTGGGGTTTTAGACTCAAAACACTAACAACCTCAATTCTCATAGGAGTCCCCTATCAAGCAAAATCCTTTGCACCACCTGTTCTCGACATCTGTTTTCAACAAGGTTTTCGTCACTTATATCCTACAAAGTCCTTAGTGTGTGTATATGGATAACTTATATTATATTCACGTGTAGTTCACAAATCACACAAAAAAATATATGGGCGACCGACTCGACCAAAGTTTGTTAGTAATAATTGAACTTGTGACCAATCTTGTAGAAGACCCTAGTCAGGAGCTCAGTGGGCGCCTAGCGCATAGAGCACCTAGGTGTTGCTTAGGCGGCCGAGTACTTCAAGTATTCGTCTTCACTTTTCTTAATCGGAGCGGGGAGTTGTTAGACTATTATAATCCATCAAACTAGTTAACTGCATATGTTAGATGGTTAGTTGAGTACATGGTTGCAAGAATATAGAATAGGAGTAGCCGAGCAAACAAAAAACAAAATACAAAACAAAAACACTCGTCCGAGTTGAGTGCTGACTAGGTCGAGTTGGGCACCGACTCGGCCATGTTAGGCACTCAACTTGGCACCTAGTTGCCCAGCCAACTAAAAGTCGCTTAGGGTTGAAATCGTCTCAGCCTAAGGGCGCCTAGGCGGCCGCCTAGATCGAATGTTACAATACTACATACCTGTGACTTTAATTTTTGATACGAGAATCATATTTTATCTACTCGTGACCGAGATGATAGGCTAATAAATATAGTATATAAATAGGCCCCACGGGTGTGGCGGACACATAGGCGAGTGAAACGTTTGGGGAACAAAATGTGCCACTCATCATCAGAGATACTTCATTAAGCCCTTGCTTTAAGAAACTAAGACAGTCAATCAAAATGCTAAAAAACATATTTATATATAGCGTTTCAATATTAATTTGGTTAAGATGCAGCAGCAGCTTTATCTCATTCATGCATTTCCTCCAAAGTATCATTTTTTTAAAACACCTTTTCATTAATCTTGGTATGAACAAGTCATTGCTTTAAGATTTGTCGTTACATGAAGATTATAAAGCCTTCACCAAATCATTACCAATTCGATATGGTGTTTTGTTTTCCAGCTTGTCAATTATAATTACCAACTAATGTAGCAGGATTATGGTTATGTTGTGCATATGAATAAGGTATTTTTGGTTCAATTCATCCTAAGTCAAGTCAAATTGGAAAGTTTATTATATTCTTAATAGAGTCCTCTCTCAATCTGAGATTGAGTCTAACCGTTTAAGCTTTAAATTAAAGTATTTAGTGAAGAAAACTCAATATTTTATTGTTTTCAATAGGGCTGTTAACGAACCGAACATAAACGAACGGAGGTTGTTCGTGTTCGTTTGTTAAGGAATTTGGAGTTTTCGTGTTCGTGTTCGTTTGTTAAGGAATTTGGAGTTTTCGTGTTCGTGTTCGTTTGTTAAGGTTTTTGAAAATCTTGTTCGTGTTCGTTTGTTAAGCGTTCGTTAGTGTTTGTTAACGTTCGCGAACACGTTAACGAACATTTTCGTAAACGTGTTTGTTAACGTTCGTGAACACGTTCGCAAACGTGTTCGTTAACGTTAACAAACACGTTCACAAACATGTTCATTAACAAGCACGTTCACGAACATATTTATTTACGTTCATGAACACTTAATAAACAAACACCTGCACATGTTCATGATCACAATTCGTTCGTGAACAATAAATAATCTACGTTCACGAACAATAATCAAACAAACAATACAACTACATAACTAATATAATATAATATATATGTTTGTGAACATGTTCGCGAACATTATTAAACGAACAAAAACGAGCTTGTTCACTAAGATTATTAAACGAACATAAACAAGCTTGTTCACGAACATTAGTACACGAACACAAACGAGCTTGTTCACGATCACTTAGCAAACGAGCTTACAACTGTTCAAGCTCTGTTCGTTTATTAACCGAGCTCTAAATTTTGTTTGTTAATGTTCGTTTACCTTAACAAACGAACGCTTACTGAACATAAACACGAGTAGTTTGCCGAAAGCTCTGTTCGCTAACACCCCTAGTTTTCAAGTAACCTTGTAGTTACCGTAACAATCACAAAAATTAAATAAGACTGTCTTAAATAAGAAAACAAATAATATGAACCAATTCAACCAATACTAACATAAATCTTCATCAATGGTCACATCTATCTAGTGAGTTTTAATTAACATCTTTATATGTACAATGTATAGCTACATTATATATGTTTATAATTGCAGTCTGGGACGGACAGCAGAAACCCAAGCAAATGATTTGATCACATGCAGGACATCAATCTTTCTTTCCTAAATATTCCCATCGAGTATCATATATGCAGCCTATCCTCTCCAACAACCATAATATATAAATCCAGGTCGGTTGGTGTTAAGATTATATAATGAACAAAAACACATGATCGAACCCTAATAATCATAATGTAAAATTTAAACCCAATATCGTAAGTTCTTTATAGACACAACTCCACTAATCCTCTCACTTAATGGACAGCTAAATCACCATAATTTATTACTTCAGTGACAGCCCTAATAATCATAATGTAAAATTTAAACCCAATATCGTGAGTTCTTTATGAACACAAAATACTGTACTAATCCTCTCACTTAATGGACAGCTAAATCACCATAATTTATCACCATAGTGATCCTGTCAGGCTAGGTATATGAGGGTGTGGGGTGAGGGAATTTCGATCAATTCGCTTTTTGTGGGCAAGAATATATAAATACAGACCGGGGTGGAGAATCATCAGAACCCTAGCTCAATAATCTTTTTAAACGACAACGTAAGACCGACATGATAGCACTGCACTTCCCGGAGACATTTCTGGCAGTCGTGGAGAGAATGTACACCGATCATTACAAGCTGCCGGAGCAACAGAAAGATCATCGCCGCCGCGGTGACCAGACAACCTTCGTTAGCATTCAAATAGGAACGACAAGTACTGCTAAACCTAGTACTAGTAGTTCCCGGCAAGTGCAGGTTAATAATAATAATAACAAGCTGAATTTTTCGAGCATGAAGTTTTTTGATCGTTTTCGGAAGATTGTTATGCGGCTTTTGTTTTCTTCTGTCCCTTCTTCTTCTTCTGGTAGGGGTGGTGGTGGTGGTAATCGGGCGGGTTCCGGCGCGGCGGCGCAGCGGCGGAGGTCGTGTGATCGGCCGGAGACGCCCAAGTCGTCCTGCAGCTCCTCCTCCTATTACTACTCCTCCAACTCGCACTACCACGAGGCCATCGCCGATTGCATCGAGTTCTTCAACAAGTCGTCGTCGCAAGAGGCGGCGTTTGGCGGCGGCCGCCGATCTGATGCTGTGGTGTGATTTCAATTCGAGTGCTTTTATTTCATTCCAATTCTGCTACATGTTCTCCCAAATCTTACTCTCTTAATTTGTAGCGCGCTCTAATAAACTATTTTTGTAATGTGAGTCACAATACAAGCGTCTAGATTTTGTGTGTAAAAATAAAAATGAGGAGCAGTGAGAGCACACATAGTATTTTCCTTTGTTGTCATCATTTTTTATATATATATGTCTTATTTCGTGTCATGTTCATCAATTGTACTTTTCTTTTATATATATAAATATGTTATAATTACACGGATTGCCTTTTCCTCCGTGGATTCACTGAAACAAGTAACCCATAGTCAATTACTTTATTGCTGAAAATATTGTCTCAATTGACTGAAATGTTGATCGCTAGTGACCTGTAATATCAGTGATTTTTTGACTTTATTGCACCAAAATACAATATACTCACATTATTCAAGCAACACAACAATACATGTTCCATTATGTGTTTGGTACGAGGTTTACTTATATTAATAATCAAAAATTAAACGACCGACAAGATTATTAACTATGAAAGAGACATTATATGTGATATGATTTCATGATGGTTTCCATTATGTCTTTGGTACGAGCTCAAGCTCTTGATGTTGCAGCACCCTTTATCCTGGAGAGAAGCCCTCCGATCAGCGGGATGGATGATCTGTTCTTCTTCTTCTTATTCTTCATCGACGGGAGCCTCTCGAGCCGGGCGTCGTCACTTTCCGGCACCATGACGCGAGCCACGACGGACGGCGGGTTCGCGAAAGTCACGTATCTCTTCTTCTGAAACTCCACATTGTTTTCTGGTTTTGTCGTATCTGCAGATTTGAGTTCGAACTCGGTGGAGACCTCGATGGATTTGAGGTCTTCTTCGACCACCACCGGCGCCGCCGCCGCTTGGTCGGATTTCTTTTGCTCCGCCTTGAGTTGGCGGAGCTCCTTCTTGGTCCGATCGAGCTCGTCTTGTAAAGAGGAGAGGCATGTCGCCATTATCAAGCTTTCTTCTTGAGCCTTTTCTAGGGTTTGCTTTGTCTCCTCCAGCTCCGCCGTTACGTTTCCGACCTCCGTTGGAACGCCGCCGTGGTGTTTACCCGATCCATACTCATTCATCTGCCACCATTTTTTTTTAATCAACACTCAACAAATACTTAAATCATTAAGAACATTATATTCCTCAAGTTCACTTTATCACTTATCATTAACATCAAGCTCATTTTTTAAGTTATGACTAATTAATCAAGTATCGACTGAATTAGTTTTTCTATCAAATAAAAGTTCGTTACCTGTAATTTTTGTTACTAAGTTATATCAAGTTTGAGTGCAAATTGAGGAAAAGAACAAAGGTAAGGTTAGTGGTTTATATATATATATAGTTATTACTTGAGTTGCGGAGTTTGAGTGCAAATTTAGGGAAAGAATAATAAAGGTTAGTAATCTACACTTCTAGTTATTAAGGTGTAGAGTTTGAGTGCAAATTAAGAGAAAGAATAAATGTTATTAGCCATCTACACATTTATGGTTACTAAGTTGTGGAGTTGGAGCTGAGCATGCACGGGTTTAGCTAGCTCACTGATTTAATAGGTAATATTTAAAAAAAAGAGATCAAGATTTAAACTTCAGATATTCTCTTATGTCGGGCTGGTGTGTGAAAACCCTTCGGAAGTTAGAGATTCAACTAGGAGAAAAAGTTATGGGCACTTTATAACTTGGTAGAGTCTAAAAGTAATTACACTTGTAACATGAATAATATTAAATTTACCATTTTTCTATAACTCAAACATCAAATTAAAAGTTTAATTCTCTCAATAAAAAAAAATCAAAATTGATTTGTTTAGGATGCCTTTTATTTTAATGTCTAAACATGAGTAATAATATCAACCAAATAGAAAAAAAAAAAAAAAAAAAAAAGTTCATATAACAAAAATGGCCATTATTTTTGTAGGTGACATATGAAAACTCAGCTCGCAACAGTCACTACTTAAATGTGTGAACAGATGAATTATGTTTTCGTATAATACTGAGTTACTAAGTATTCTTTGGTTATGATGAATTGAAGTGTTAATACCCGTTTGAGTTTGGTGGCATAGAGTTCGCCGGCGAGAAGAGTGTCGCCGAACATGATGACAGCCTCCTTGACAGACCGGAACGGCGGACTTGTGTCGATCTCCGCCTTCCTCGTCATCCTCACCGACCTCGCGCCGCCTTGTCCTTCCATAGCTTTCAGCATCATATCACACGTATAGTATGTGTTTGTGAGAGAAATCTATAATATAGCATTCAGCATTTACATCAATAATAATGGAGCTATATATATATACACCTACTCACATATGTATGTACTGTTTGGGTGTGCTCACAAAAGAGTGCAATGGAAGGACTACGTTTCTTCACATCCACTTCACAACTATTCTCCATCTGTCGGAATATTCCTTTCTTTAATTGGTTACGGATCGGAGTATTTTTTGTATGTACATATCCAACAGAGTCAATTTCATTTCAACCCCGTCAGTCAACGACCAAACAAAAGTAAAAACAATTACACAAATCAGTTACCCGCATGGACAGCTCAACTGGTCGTGGGGTGAAGTAAGCAAAGGTAAAGTCTAGTCTCTATGATTCAGTTGATTTACATCATCTCAGATGCTCTGTCGGGCTCTCGTACTTGAGTATCTCAATATACAATTTTTCACAGTTTTTGAGGACAATATGACTTATGTGAAGGGGAAAGAAAAGATGCATTCTTCATGCAAGATTAGTTTTTTGTGGGGTCCACCAAGAGAGATAAAAAAGAAATACTATGCGCAATTGCGGGCAAATTATGCTCTGGACCCGTGTCCACATTGAATTGTGGACACGGGCCCAAAACGACGTCGTTTTTAAAAAAAAAACGCGTCATTTAGTTTAAAAAAAAAAATTCGCGCGTGTTTTGCCGTTAACGGCGTTATTTTTTTTTTTTGATTATGAATGTACAGTTATGCCGTTATGAATGTACAGTTATGTCGTTATGAATGTACAGTTATGCAATTATAAAATTATGAACACAGAGCTCTAACATTATGAACTTACAATTATGAACATATATAGTGATAAAATTATGACCATGGAGCTTTAAAATTGTGAATATAGAGCTTCGAAGATTATGAATGTACAGTTATAGAGTTATGAATCTACAGTTATGGAGTTATGAATCTACAGTTATGAGATTATGAATCTACAGTTATGGAATTATGAATGTACAGTTATTGATCGAATTATGAACAAAGAGCTCTAACATTATGAACTTACAATTATGAACATATAGTGATAAAATTATGAACATAGAGCTCTAAAATTGTGAACATAGAGCTTCGAAAATTATGAATGTACAATTATGGAGTTATAAATGTACAGTTATGACGTTATGAATGTACAGTTATAGAGTTATGAATGTACAGTTATAGAGTTATGAACGTACAGTTATGGAGTTATGAATGTATAGTTATTAACATATAGTAATAAAATTATGAACATATACTTCTATAACAAAGTGATCTGAAATTTAAAAAAAAAAAAAGGAGATAACAGTGCCTAACGGCCCTGTTACCCGTGTCCAGCAAGCATGCTGGACACGGGTCCAAGGCATAACGATTGGCAATTGCGTGAGTGGGCTGCACAGACCGTGCCCAGCCCGTCAGATGTTTTTTCTCTCCCGGGCCAAATTAAACTTGGGTTTTTTTTTCCTCCTTTTTCTTTGGTCTTTCCCTCCCCTCTCTCCGCATCTCAAAAACCAAAAAAAAAAAAAAAAACACTATTATTGGAGATGCTCTATAAGTTAATTTTCTAGTGTGAAGTAAAAATTATGTGTATAAAATGAGAGTAAAATATAGTATTTTTCATTAATATATGTTCCTTGTTTCAATTTCCACGTCACCTTTACATTTTACACCTCACAACCTTTATGATTATTATATTATCTTCTAATGTAATATTTTGTTTCTTTTTAATTTCCTTTTCTCTGATCTTATACAAGAATACCCAAAATGTCACTCACCGCCGGGAGCACGGCCGTCGGAGCTTCTAACGTCGGACGTCCATTTGCTAAATTGGTGTCTCGACCGCGGGAGATAGTGGCCGTACGATGTAGTCTCAACTATGGCGTGGCTGCAATCTTGACTAAGCTGCAGAAGGACTGTGCCACTCCTCTCCCAGTCTTGCGCCACGTGGCTGATGCCATGGCTGCCGACATGCGAGCCGGGATTTCCGTCGACGGCGGCAGTGATCTGAAGATGATTCCCAGCTATGTCGACACTCTACCAACTGGGTAACGTTAAAAATTACTGTTTTTTCTTGTTGGATTTTCTGCACTGGCTCTGAGGTTGCTTTTCATTTGTGTTCTTGATTTACAGTTTGATAAAAATGTTTGCTTTTTCTTGGGTTAAAGCTTGTTTAATCTATTGTATGAATTTATAATTTGCAATCGCAAGATTCAAGAAGTAAATAATTGGGCAATTTCAGCCAAATTGATTAGACTGTTAGCTTGGTAATCACAAGTTTACAATGATCATGGGAATACAAGTCAAAATTACTCAATTTTGACTTATTTGACCACTATTAACTGTTTTACTTGGTTAAAGAATCAATATAAGTGTTTGATTAATTAGATTTTTGTAATAATTTATTGCTCCAAAATGTTAAAATTTAAATTTCGATAAGCTTTTTGAGAAAGTTAATTTGCATGTAATCAGCTATCGGCTAACAGCTAATTTACCAAACACTTTTCTACAATCAACTAATGTTATCAACTAGTTAAACTCGCTAACTCAATCAGCTAACAACTATTTACCAAACACCCCCAATATCTACTCCTAGCGGGAGCAGCCTATTGGCTTTCTTGATTAGGGTTACAAGGCAAGGTTTTCTCAGACAATGGTTCATGAATCATGACTTTTAACACTCCCATGATGTTTTCATAGGAAAAAGTTTGTGTTTTTCGCTTCCAATTTTACTTGTTTTGAGTATTTACCTGTCTTTTGGTATCCATTGAGGGTTTGAGTTTTCCACTTTTTTAAGGAACGAGAGAGGATTATTTTATGCATTGGATCTTGGTGGTACTAATTTCCGGGTGTTGAGGGTGCAATTGGGAGGGAAAGCAGAGGGCATAATCGCCACCAAGTTTGAGCAAGTGGCTATACCACCGGAATTGATGTGTGGAACTTCCGAGGTTTGTTTGTTTCATTGTTTGGTCTGAATGTTCTTCTATAGTCTTCACATTTGCATTGATTGAAAGTATGCCAATTTGTTCTAGGAGCTTTTCGATTTCATTGCCTCTGCATTGGCGAAATTTGCAGAAGAGGGAGGAAAGTTCCATTTGCCACTCGGAAGGGCAAGGGAAATAGGATTTGCGTTTTCCTTCCCTGTGAGGCAGACTTCTATTAACTCCGGTGTTCTAATCAAATGGACTAAGGGTTTTACTGTCTCTGGAACCGTTAGTATTTCTTCACTCGTTTTTCACTGGCAAATTTTCCCATGCTGCTATATAGTTCAGTGAAGATGATTAGTAGCCTTCTTACTAAGATGAATAATAATATATCTATATACTGTGGTCTTGAAAATTGAAATTGCTTTGATGTGAAAATGTGGGTATTTTTATCATTAGGAGATGCAAGTAGATATGCATATAGTTAAGAATTTAGACTTTCAAGCATTTGAGGCATCGGGAGATGTACAAATCATTAGCTAGTTCCTAGAGCTGTCAATACGGGCTGGTGGGACGGGGCGGACCAAAAAAGCCCGCTCTTTGGTGGGTTGATATTTTCGAAACCCGCCCCCTACATAAGTAGGGGGTGAAATCGCCCGGCCCGACGGGCAAAACCCGTTTTGATGGCTCTACTAGCGCTGTCAATACGGTCTGACAGGGTGGGACAAACCAAAAAAGCCCGTTCTTTGGTGGGCTGTTATTTTCGAAACCCACCCCTACTTAGGGAGCGGGACGGCCTGACCCAACGGGCAAAGCCTGTTTGACGACTCTACTAGAGCTGTCAATACGGGCTGGTGGGGCGGGCCGGACCCAAAAGCCCACTCTTTGGTGGGCTGCTATTTTCGAATCCCACCCTCTACCTAGGTAGGGGCTGGACGGCCCGGCCCGGCGGGCAAAGCCCGTTTTGACGGCTCTACTAGTTCCTCAGTAAGCATATCTGATGGCGTTCATGGAACAGGTGGGGGAAGATGTGGTTGCTTGTTTAAATGCAGCTATGGAGAGGGCGGGATTAGATATGCGTGTGTCTGCTCTGGTACTTTCCTTTCGAAGCTTCATATTTCTCAGAAGGCCATATTGCATTCACCGAAGTTAGTTAATTCCTTATTCTTTTTGTGTTTCCATAATCAAGTTAGGTCAACGATGCCGTGGCAACACTGGCTGCAACCCGATACTGGGATGAAGATGTCGTGGTTGCTGTTATTCTTGGAACCGGAACCAATGCTTGCTACATTGAACGCATGGATGCTATTCCTAAACTGTCAGAACAGACGTCAATATCTGGGATAATGGTTGATAAAATCTTTTAAGTCCATATAAGAAAAATACTTACTTTACAGTGTATATGGATTGTGATTATAAATGAGTATACTTTCAGATTGTGAGTACCGAGTGGGGAGCATTTACGGGTTGCCTTCCTTTGACCGAGTTTGACAGAGAAATGGATGCAGAGAGCCTTAATCCTCGTGAGCAGGCAAGTATTTTCGTTGTAAATTACTATTACTATCCCCCGTTTAACCATGAAACGCTCTAACTATAGAGTTCTTGGACTTCCAAACGTGCATGTTTCATCGCATAGATATTCGAGAAGACAATTTCGGGCATGTACCTTGGAGAAATTGTTAGAAGGGTACTGGTCAAAATGAGCGAAGTTGGCTTATTTGGAGGCTCTCTCCCGGAGAAATTATTCACGCCCTTTGCTCTCAGGTAAAAAGTTCTGATATTTTCGTACTCGTAACATGTTGATAACAAATGTGTGGGGAAATAATCGCTGATGTCATTCTCTGTGATAAACAGTACACCAGATATGTGTGCAATGCAGCGGGATACTTCCCGGGATCTTGAAGGCGTTGGGTCAATCCTCTACGATGTTCTTGGGGTATGAATTGGTAATTCAAATGTAAAGCTTGCCGATTTCCAGTCTTCATGATTAAGTTCTTGTCCTTGTTAGAAAATTTTGATTCATTTCGGTGAACTTGCTTACTTGCAAACTAGTTTTCCTTTTATTACTTCGATTTTTATGCACATTATTCTTCTGCTGATGAACTATTCAAGAATGGATCAGGAACTGATAATTGAAGCATGTGCTCCATCTCAACTAAAAGCCTAAGCTGATAGTTGGATTGCACATTTATGTTTATGTTATATTATATTATATGCTCAACACTGATGCCATTAACAGTTCCTCGTGGAATCTGATCTCAGGTGAATTCTGACTTGTGTGCGAGAAGGGTAACTGTGGATGTTTGTGAGACTATTGCGAAACGCGGTGGCCAACTGGCTGGTGCAGGAATTGTCGGGATTCTGCAGAAGATGGAGGAGGATTCTCGAGGTCTTATATTCGGGAAGAGGACAGTAGTAGTGGTAGATGGAGGCTTATATGAGCATTATCCACAGTACAGAAGCTACCTCCAAGAAGCTATCGTCGAGCTTCTGGGTTCAGAAATTTCGAGAAATTTAGTCATACACCACTCGAAAGATGGTTCTGGGATTGGGGCTGCTCTCATAGCTGCTGCAAACTGTAAGTATGAACATGACAGTTAAACCTTAATTTTACTGCAAGAAAAGTTGCGATTCTTGAAATAGCTACACTTCCGCCATGAAAGACAGCCATGGATTCTCAATTCTCAGTTTTTCTTATTGTATAATGCAGTATGAAAATAATGAACAATTGGTTCCTCTATGATGAATAAAGAAGCTCAGCCATGTTCCAGGATTAACATTTACTATTTGCCTCTACAACATACATGCCCCAAAGGGGGGTTTTTTCTGATCATTCAATTGCTAAAAAGGGTAATAACAGATACCATAAGAATTTTTCAATATATATATGTGTGTGTGCTCAACACTGGCTACTGGCATTAGTTCTTGCTCAATATGCATCTACAAAAAGAAAAGAATAAATCAATGGTGATCGTTCTAATGGTGACCATTGCAGAGCATTTGCAACGCTGGGATGCTGTTCGGGTAGAGTCCCCGGGCATTCCCTTCAAAGCCATCAGGTAAACGATAGTACTGTCCTCTTACCCTTGAGCCTGATAGCGATGAGGAAATGGGCATAAGCCGCTGCTGCTGTTCAAGTGAGATGGGAGCGTGCTTGGAGGGAAGCGTGTCCAAGGAAGAACGAGAGCCTGGGAACATGGTTTGAGCGGATTGGAGAAGGGGATGCGTGTTTTGTCCTCCGTTTTGCCACTCCGGTATATGGGAGGCACCGACTTCACCATGCTTGTATGCAGCTGTGAGGTGGGTAGGCCAAATTTGTATTTCTTGCCTGTGGAGTTGTAGTCTTGGTGGAACTGTGGCGTCTGCATTCCCAACTTGTGGCAATAGAACCTATAGTCACCATAAGAACACTCCTTTCAGCTTCAAGAACACTTCTAAATCATGCAAGGTATTAGTAATTATTTGTTTGGGACAACTCCAACCAAATTGGTCAGGCTGTTGGCTTAGTAACCACAAGGTTACAAGTTTGAATTCCATCAGGGGCAGCCTATCGGCTTTTTTGGTTTGAACCAGTCAACTATGGGCAACCTAGACTGGTTTACCTCCTTGTGGTCCTTTGCAGGCTAGGGTCACAATGCGAGGTTTACCCAATGCACATTTTTGTGTGGTGGCAATAGAACCTATAGTCACCATAAGAACACTCCTTTCAGCTTCAAGAAAACTTCTAAATCAGGCAAGGTTTTAGTAATTATTTGTTTGGGGCAACTCCAACCAAGTTGGTCAGACTGTTGGCTTGGTAACCACAAGGTTACAAGTTCGAATTCCAACGGGGGTAGCCTATCGGCTTTCTTGGTTTAAGCCGGTCAGATACAGGCAACTTAGGCTGGTTTATCTCCTTATGGCCCTTTGCAGGCTAGGGTCACCAGGCGAGGTTTACCCAATGCACACTCTTGGGTAGTGACTGCTGGTTTCCCTCGTCATCCAAAAACAAGAACAGAAACTATGTGAGGAACATGTAGTTGAAGCAAGTCACCTGATGAGCTGCAGCTGTTGAAGAAAGCGGGCCAAAAGAAGCAGATGAATAACGATTCTGGGGAAGCAGGAAAGATAGTTGCTGGTTCTCTGATGCTATGTGAGGAACATGTAGTTGTTTTGAGGCTTCAATGGTTTGTCCAGCTCTAGTAGCATTACTACTGCCATTAACCATTCCTTGAGTGGGAAACGACACGAAATCTGGGTTCTGCAGCTATACACGAAAAGAGTCCATCACAGCAGACAAATGACTAAACGAACAATACATCAATCATGTTGAGTATGAATCCAACCTGTTTTGAATTCGATAAATCTTGTCTCTGGTCTTGAAGAAGCTTCTTGTGTAAAAAGATGGCATTCCTGACCTCATTCGTAGTCTTCTCCACCACAGAACAGGCAGCACTACCACTAGAGAAAACTGTGTGTGAATCATTTATCGTACCAATTAAGCTGTCATCAGTTACGCGAATCCCTTGCTTTGATCCATTAGTTTGAGTCGATTGTGCAGACTGCAAGAGCAATTTGTCCGCCCTCTCAGATATCTGCAAGGCTTTAATGAGGCGGCATACATAAACATGAGTACAACATCTCTTCCACGAGTTCTTCAAAACAGCAGGAACTCGACCATTCTGCATTAGTTAAACTGAACTGAACACATCATACTAATAAATTTATCAGAGAATGTCAAATGATATAAATCTTTGCTACGGCACCTTTTCAGCAAAAGGTTTTGGGGTTTGAGTTCGAGCAGTGAAAGCATTGTTTCCAAACCATTCAGGGCATTTGACATCATATAACCTAAATTACCTCAATATATTAGAAACCGAAGAACTTAGCTTACAACGACACAAGAGTGAGACGAAAAGAGAATTACTCCAATGCAGGACTAAGCATATTAGAAGAACACGAGCTTGCTAGACTCAAGCCTGGCCATAATGAACCTAACAAAGAAAAAACATTAGTCACATCACTCATAATGTTAGCCATGGTAAGAAGCAATCCTTAGAAAAAAGTTCCATTGAAGATTTGAAGTACCACTAGTAGCATTGGTTTCTTTCTCCTTGGATTTGTTCTCAACCTCGGGTTGCATTCCATATGTTGCTGCAGCCTACAAAATATTAAAAGAAAAAAGAATCGTATTGGTTCCATTTATTACTAAAACATACAGTAGTTCTATACAAACATCGAGGTTAAACTTTAAAGCATACTGGATTCAGTCCAATCTCCAGTTTCTCTCTACCAGCTGGACTTCTCTCAAGTTCAGACCTTTGCGATATCCTAAAAGAGGATCAATTACACATTAAGAGGATAAAATACCAGAAAGACTTTTATAGGGAAAACAGAAAGAGGTATATACCGGTGTGGCAGATGTAAATTAGACCAAGCAGTGGAAACGACATTGTTTTCTGATATTCGTTCGGGTTTAAAGAAAGCAGCTGGGGTCAAGTTCACTTCACAATTATCGGTATTTAAATCAATTGGTAACTCCATGCTGACAGGTCTATCAAGCTGATTGTCTGATGATGATTGGGACTTGATTATTTCTTCAGCATTTGGCGACTGTTTTGAAGCCTCATCAGTTAATTGGGGGCTCGTTGTTGTCCTAATCTCTGTTCCCATTTCCAAAACTACATTGTCGATGTAATAAATTCAGTTTAAATGAGGAAACAATAGCCCGATAACATAGAAGGAAGCTATGAATTGAGAAACACACCATTAATTGAAGGCACAGAACTCTCTACTTCAGGTGATGGCAATGATTTTCCTTCTGGCAGTTCATTATTGCATCCAGTTTTACATACACTTGTGTCTGGAAGCATAGCAGCCAGAGCATACAAAGTTTCAGCCACTTCTTGCTCATCTTCGGTGATTGATCCCAAAACCTCCTTATTTATACACCTATCTAGGACATCCTGAGTTGTATCCTACAGAAATTTCAAATGTGGAAACTACATTAGTTTCACTAGTTTTTTTTTTTTTTTTTTAATAATTTTTTTGGGGTTCTCCCACTTTTAAGAAAGAAATAAGGAGGTAAATGAGATTGGAAGCAGGGTGAAAATATAATATTTTGAAGCTATGAGAGTGTACCAAATTCATTTTGGATTTCTTCGCATCTTTCTTAAGCCTTCCAACTCCATTAGACACTTGGTTCAACTTCGGGTTCCCAAGAAAAGGCGACACTTGGTTCAACTTCGGGTTCCCAAAAGAAGGTGATGAAATGGATTCGTGATTTCTCTTCTTAATGGCTGCTATTCCAAAGAAAAATCTTGCTTTAGTTTCTCAACAACTTGAAGCATAGTTCAACTTTTCAAATATGTTCAACAAAAACATATTTTTATCATATCAAAACTTTGAAGTGGATCAAATCTACTTATAAACTGCAAGCTGAAGGTTAATTTTGCAAAGGAAATACAAATGTTTGCAAAGGTCAATGAGACTAAAATTTTCAGCAGAAGAAAGGAAAGTTTTACATAGAATCTTTTTTCCTTGCTCTGTCGCTTTAGAGAAAGAAAAAGCAGAAAGGAAAGATCATATAATTAGTAACAAAGCCTTGGACATGAGGAAGTTTCCCGGAATTCCATATAAGCAATACATCTAAAACTGTGGGCTCCAAAAAATCCTATCTTCAAAAACATTAACAATCAACCATTCCAGTAATGAAAAATCTAAAATGTCACACCTGAACGCAATTTTCGAGGAACAGGGGCATGGTTTACTGTATTACATCCTCCAGAAAACTGCAAGATTTCAAACTGAAACTGGATTAGTTCATACCAAATCAGCAATTATAAAGCCTAATATAAATACTTCACTGTTTTTTGGGTGACGAGGAAAACCCTCAGCCACTATCCGAGAGTGTGTATTGGATAAACTCACCTTGTGACCCTAAGGACCACAAGGAGGTAAAATCAGCCTAGGTTGCCCTGACCGGCTCAAACCGAAAAGGCCAATAGGCAGTTCCAACTGGGAGTCAAACTTGTAACTTTGTAGTTACCAAATCAACAATCTGACCAACTTGGTTGGGGTTCTCCCAATACTTTACTGTTAACTTGTGCAGATGTCTCATAGTACCTTTCTGGGAAGCTTCAATCTCTTACTATGATTACCATCTCCAGGCTGAAGCTCATCTTCACCTCCAGACTCAAAGCAGCCCATTTTGCTCACTCAAACTCAACTCCTCAACAACAGTCACTATTCATTCTTCCATTTTTCTGCAATTTATCCAAAAAGTAAGACCTCTTCACCAGAACCCAAATCAGTTCCAGACTGGATATGTAGGAAGAGAACACAATAGCAAAATAAAGAACCCACCTACTCTAAGAAAACCACTCCAGAAGTACTTTCTTCAAAAAAAATTCCCAGAAGTCACTTAATGTACAATAAAGAGAAGAACCAAACAAGCAATATGAATAAGAATATTTTCAGATAAGGACAACACAACACAGAACACACAACAACAGGATGATGATGATGATGATCTTTTGTTGTTTAGCAACCGTTATTTCGATGAAAGAAACAAAGAGAGTAACTTGAACAGTGATAATTATCATAAATTATTTTCTTTTTTCAAAAAAACAATCGCTACTGTGCACCCATTTGTCCATTTGCAAAGGAAAAATATCAAAATGACATCAACTGAAAGCTTATTTCAAGGCCCAAATTTGATCCCAACCCAAACCTCAATCAATGCACCCAAACACCAACCCATCCCCAGATCTTTCTTTAGTCTCTCCCTTTAGCCTTATCTAACTAAAAAAAGTAAAATACTGATTAATAAACTAATAATTTTAAAAAAAAAATTACAGTATTTAAAATTAAATTACTGCTAATAAACATAGCGAAGAAAAACATAAACATTAAATAGAAAAGAATTGATGTAAGGTTAAAACTTAAAAGCTGGGAGAAAGAAAAGTGAAACATGAAGTCCTTTATGAAAAGAGAATCTGATTCTTCACCTAACAAAACCTCTGAGAAATGGAAAAGGAGCTCAAATTATTATTTTAAAAAAGAGTAAAATACAAATATCTACAAACCAGGGATTTGACAGAATGAGAAATTCAGAAAGATCTTCATTCACTGCGAATTAATGGCCACAAAACTCATTACGATTCTGCAGATAATTACAGAGTAGTGCTCTACAAACATTCAAATCTCCATTTCGTACAGAAATTTCACGCATTTTCCAACGAAAAAAAAGGGCTAAAAACCAGATATCACACAACTCGCTCGAGAAAATGCGAAGCAACATTCGATCAACGAAAAAAACATTTCTTTCAGCTTCTTCGTTGGATTTCTTGAGAAATTTTCAGTTTTAAAAGAAGTGGTTCACACAAATACCGACCTATTCCCCGATCAGGCGATCATCAAAACATGAACACAGAGTCTCCAGAAAAATTCAGCTTGGAAACTGATTGCAATCTTCAACAACAACAACAAAGAAGAATATAAGAAAGAAGAAGAAATCAACACAGAATTTGTGTTAACGGAGTGATAACCGACTCTGAGCTAACTTTATTCCTCTCCTTCACTCTCTCCAGAAGAAAACTGATAATAATTACTCAACAGACAGACGGAAAAAACGAAGCTTTCGTTCGCCTTCTGCAAAACCGTCACACGCGCGCTCTCTCTCTTCTCTCTCTCTCTCTCTCTCTCTCCATATCTTTTGTTCAGAGATATATTCTGAAGGCGTCGCGCGATCTGACAGCTCAGGATCGGTTGAGAATGTCAGCCGTTGGATCGGTGATGAAGGAATCTCGCGTGTCAGGGTGGTTGCCACGTAGGACTGAGCTTTTGGCAGCCGCGAGAGCGTCACGGTCCATGCATGTTGCTTACGTGGACGGTCAGGATTCATTGTCGAAAGTTTTAGCCCGCATCCGATCGTCTGTTTCACGTAGTTCTCGTGCCAAGTACGGAGTACTAGGACTCCCAGAAGTACTTCATTTTTTTTGATACTATGTAAGGTGCGGTTTAAATAATCAAAGATCCATTTTTTATAACAAAAATATTGAAAATCTCTATAACACATTAATTAATGAGTGACTCTCATGTGACATTGTCTCATGGATCCTAATTTATTAAACGGGTCGAGTTAAATATAAATGTAATATTATAAAATGTTTTTCTTTTAAACTTATATGAGAATACCTTTGTCACACGGGTAATGATGAAAGCCGGCCTTCACAGTCCATAGTGTTACAAAAATGTCGACATATTCTTCTCTTTTCCCGAATAAGTAAGGTTGTATTTGGTACACTACCACAACGAAGTATAAATATTCGAATTGGAAATAGATTTACATAATCAATATATTACACTTAATTAATTGTATGTTTTTTATTTTAACTTTTTTTTTTTTTAAAGAATGAACTTTCAACAAACTTAATAAGAGTCAATAAATTCTTTAAAAAGAACAGAGCCAATAAATGTTATTTTGATTTTAGTATAATTAAAATGTTGGTGTAATTGTTAATTGAAATAAATGATTCATATTATTTTAATTTTAATATTTTTTATTATTTTTCTTGTTTGACCATCTATTATATCATTTGTTTTCCTAAATACAACGGCATTCCGTCAGTGTAAACTTTAATAACATTCCGTTAACTATTTATTATTAAATTACTCATTGATTTTCATAATGAAGGTTTCAGGTTCGAACCTCATCCCAATCAAAAGTAACATAATTGTTAAATATATACTATGAATATGTTAGAGTGTATTAAAAAATACAATATAAAAATTTAACATGAACTTTGGTCAATTAATTAGAATCACGCATTTGGCATCGATGAAACAGTACACCTAATTTACAGTATATATTCAACACAAATGAGAAACTATGCATCTTATCATTGTTCTCGGTTGTGGGGGGGGGGGGGGGGGGGGGTGATTTGGTTTTGTTTTTTTGAAGATGCACTAGGCCAATGCACTAAAATTGCAGTGAACTACACCAAGGGACTAGATTATATCAAAAATTCATTTATGGTGGAATTGTCAATAAAAGGAAGCATGGATCACGCCAATTAATAGGGTTTTGTGTTGCATGCAAAAGTTATATTTGGGTACTATCTAATGAGGGTGCTTAATTTTCCTATAAAATTGCTATTGCACCTGAAAAATTTTGACACGGGTCATAGTTATTTTTTCTTGAAATATTTACTTTTATGAAAAATTTGATAATCTTACATTGATATACGTCAGGATACTGAATAATAATTTTTTAAAATTCTACTAACTCTATTACATTGTAGTATCTGTTCACACATACTTTCTCAACCTAATGAAGCACAAAGAGTCAACAACGCTTCCACTGAAGCTCGATCTCATGACCTCTCACATGGGATAGGATACTGAATAATGCTTTGATAATTCTGAAACACTAATTTAAAACAACACATTAGGTATTGGATTATTCGCGCAATGCGCCTGTGATAACTAGTAGGAGTAATAAATTTGATGGTGTTCGTGGGGGTTGATGAGGATTATGATCCTCATTTCCGGGTGCATGATATTGAGGTCCGACTTAAACTATTATTTATTTTCTATTTTTTAATTTTCAGTTTTCATTCATTATTTTTATTCTCTATTTTCTATTTATAAAATTTACTAATATCCACAAAAAGACCATGGACCACTAAAACTAGACATCTAGACAGATACTCGAATAAAGTGGCATGTTAATTAGTACATATTCGTTATTGAAACATTGTTTTCTATTGTATAGTACAACACACTCTTAGCTTCCTGCATATATAGGAGTAATACTACACATTTTCCTTTTTTTACTCCCTGCTGAAGTGTCATTACACATTTTAATTGATCTAAAAAATAGTGGCTCACTATTTTTAGAAAAATATTACATGCATTCCCATTTTTTACTCTCAACTTATACTCTGTCCGTCTTACAAATTCTTGATGTAGACATATTTTCTGTGATCCACATGATAAAAATAGCCCATTTTTGTTTGTCATGTCATAGAGTAAAGTGATGGAGTAGAATTTGACAATATATGTAGTAGAACTCCTATTTTTATTACTTCATTTTTTTCCAATAAAATTTATACACGTGATATACTCCATGAGAATATGAGAATACATCTACTATTATAGAAGCACTTCATATATATATATATATATATATATATATATATATATATATATATGGTTGCATTCACATGCAAACATCCTTAAAATACAAATATGTGGACATATACCGTGCACATACCTAAATGCGGGTGTCCACACATTCGTGAATTACAGTGCACACATTCAATGTAGTATGTATATGTGAATCCAAAATACCTGGGTCAGTATGCACACGTCCATAAACGACAGTGCACACAGACGGACAGAAATGTATATATATGCAAAGACTACTGAACCAAATTACATGAGTGGAAACCAGCTAGACTGAATGGAAACCTGGTAATGAACCATGACAAGAAGCAGAACCACCAGCACCGCCAACCCCCACGGCGCGATCCCGCCGTCACCGCCGCCCGACTGGTACACCGGCCGCCCATACGGATAGAACAACCGGTAGCTAACCAGCCTGATATACACCAACAACACCACCAGCAAAGGCACCAAGAACACAAACATCCTTAAACTGCTCTTCGTCCTCGCCACCTGCGCCTTGAAGTCCAAGTACGTAGATAAACACATGAAAAACGCCACCAGCCCGAAAAGCACCATTAATGGCAGCGGCGGCGCCGTGATTGACTCCACCGTCTGATCTCTCCAGCTTACCCCTCTTCTGCCTCCCCATAACCACCCCATTATTTTGCTTCTCTGATCTCTGGTGTTTTTGGCAGTGTAATATATTGAGGAATTGAAGAATATATATATGGGTTGGGATTTTGGGTGAAAAGTTTGGGCATTTTGGCTAACTTTTGTGGATACCCAAATTGCAGGTCGCATATTTAAAGAAAGGGTAGGTGGATATATTCGTTGCTTAGTTGGGGTTTTGTTCTGTCATATCCTTTTGTTATTCTTCGTTGATAGTTGCTAAGGAATCTTGATTCTGTGTGTGTGTGTGTCGTTTGAAGGCTTGAATTGAAGCCCCAATCATGTTCATTCCAATTGGAAATTTCTAGTCTTAATTTCTTTAGTAAAATTTCGAAAAAAAAATATTTAGTAAAATATGCCATGACACCTCATGGGATATTGACTCTTTGAACTGCAGTAATGGTATTGATTTTTTGAACTACGGTAATTTAGAGAAAGTATAAAACGTATATTACATTCTAATAGAGTCAATAGTATTAAAAAAAAAATAATACCTTATGAGTTGAGGGTCAGATTTTTTTAGTATGATTCATCTGATCTCACATGTGTATTTACTAGCTATTAAACAACAATATGATTTATTCAATATACACATTTAGATATAGTAATTACAAATTTATTTCATATATAAGTTATGAATTATAAAAATGTACCTTTAATAAGCTCTCAAGTGTTGATAAACTAGCTGATCATTATGTATCTAGATAATGAACATTATGAGTTAGAATAATTTAGTTTATTGATTATAATTATGTATTTATGTGTTAGAATAATGATTTTTTAAAGATAAGATAATGTATTTTATGAGTTCGAATAGTGCAATTTATGCTTTAAAATAATTTATTTTATGAATTATAAAAATATATGTTGCAGCAATGGAGTTAAGGAAGGTGCAATGGAGAGGAAAATGCAAGTCGCGTGAAAAAAAAAGGGAGACGGCGTAGTTTTGAACGACGGTCCATGCAATGACAATTTATATCATGGACCATGGTCCACATATTATTATGGATCGAAACACCGAGGTACAAAATTCAAAATCGTAAGGTATAGAATTCATAACACAATACAAAAAATCACAACATAAGACATATACACATGTTATATATTTACTTATTTTTTAAATCTAATTTAGGTCATACATATTCATAGACACAGAATTTTACTATACAAGATACAAAAATTCATAATAACATGGAAAATGATCAAATATGCCATTGAACTTTATTCGAAAGTGCATTAGGCCCCTAAACTTCAAAGAATTGCAATTAAACACTCAAACTTATCATTTTAGTACATCTATATCCAATAATCGGTAACTTATTTGAAATAACCGGTCATCAAGATTCCGGCGATAATTCCAGAGATAAAAAAAAAGGAATAAGGTTCAAATTGGTCACTGAACGTAACCTGAAAATGCAATTAAGTCACTGAACGAAAAAAAGGTGCAATTAGGCCACTGAACACTCCAAATGTATGCAATTTCACCTCATAGCAGGTTACCATCGATTTTAGCAGGTTACCTACTTACGTGGCAGCTGAGTTGGCATTTTTAATAATTTTTAAATAATTTTTAATAATAAAGTTTTTTTTAAAAAAATTAGTTAAAACAAAAAATTTTAATTAATTAATTAATTTATTTTCAATTTTTTTTAAAAAATTATTATTAAGTTATTAAAAATTATTTACAAATTATTAAAAATGCCAACTAAGCTGTCACGTAAGCAGGTAACCTGCTAAAATTGATGGTAACCTGCTACCCGGTGAAATTGCATACATTTGGAGTGTTCAGTGGCCTAATTGCACATTTTTGGGTGTTCAGTGGTCTAATTGCATCTTTTTTTCATTCAGTGGCCTAATTGCATTTTCAGGTAACGTTCAGTGGCCAATTTGAACCTTATTCCTAAAAAAAAAAAAAAATCCGACGACTCTTTGAATTTCTTTTTAAAAAAAAAGTCCGGCAACCGTGACCGATTGTCTTCTCCAGTGAATAATATCATAAAAAGTTACTGGCAATTTAATTTTTTTTAATGGTCGTGAACCGTGGTCAATGGTCATAATTTTATCGGTAAATCAGACTTAATTGAGCCATTTTGACAAATTTAAATATGATAACTCAACTGAGCATGAACCACATAAGCTAGACTCGATCCCTAATCATTCTTTCAAAGTTTTACCTCAATGACCAGTTGAGCTGCCCATACGGGTTAAATACATATTTGACTCTTTCCCTAACCAAAGATACCATTACTAATTTGTTTCAAATAAATAATTTATATATTTTGCATACATATGATATGCTCAACGGTCCAAAGTGCAACTTTCAACCCTAGTCTGTCCCAAGCAATAACGCTCCTTACATTGCGCCAATCCGGGCTTAAATCAGCAAATCAGAACTGAGAACCGGAGAATTCCCCTCCAGAAACCCTTGTTTTCATCTCTTCAACTCCCCAAATTTGGGTAATTTTCGCTGTCCTTTTCGCAATTGAAATGCCTTCTGAAGATTCAAAGGCCTTGAAGAAGGAATCCGTCGAAGATGAGGAGGAGGAGGAGGAGGAGGAATGCATTGGCGCAATGCTGAAGAGCCGGAAGAAAGAAGGTTCCGGCGGCAATGCCGCCGTGAAATCTCAGTCAGCCAAGGCCAAGAAACCGCCCGCTAAAGCGAAGGAGGAAGGCGGTGCTGAAAAGCCCGCTCCCAGGAAGAACTCGAACAAGGCTCCTGATAGTAAAGCTAAAGCGAAGAAAGAAGAGGCCGATGACGATTTTGAAGAACCTAAATCCAAAAATACGGCTAATAAAACTGAAAAGGTTTGTTTTATGTCGTAAATGGTTTATTCATTTAGGTTTCAGAATTGATTGTATGATTTGTGTGTTTTTGTGTTTGTGTATTGGGTTTAAGGTGCAGAAAAAGGCGAAGAAAGAGCAGGAAGAGCCGCGGAAGGGGAAGAAGGCAACTAAAGAAGCAGAGCAGAATGGGAAGAAGAAGAGAGTGAAGGTGGTTTATGATTTGCCTGGCCAGAAGAGAGACCCTCCAGAGGAGGTATGCTTTTGCAAATAGGAAAAAGTGTCAAATCACGCAATGAACTTATTGTTTTCGTGCAATTGAGTGAGTCAGTACAATCAAAGAAGCAAAATATGCGCAATTGTAACTGATCATTTTGCTTGCTACTAAGAGTGAAAGATTGAAATGTTTTCAACTTAAATTGCATTAAAAGAAATTAAAAAAAAAATGTTTCAATTGCTTGTTTGATGTTTTGATTGCATACTTCACCCAATTGCACTGTATTCTCTGGGAATGTTTGCAGCTAATGGAGAATTCTTTTGTTTTGTTTTGTTTTTGGTTGCAGAGAGACCCATCGAGGCTTTTTTATGAATCTCTGTACAATCAAATTCCAGAAAGTAACATGGCTGCAGTCTGGTAAGTATCTAGTGATTATGCTTTGGAGCTCATTATCCGTCTAGTTTACTATGCCTTGCCATCATCTTTGATTTATATGGTTCTCAAGCTACTTCAATTATGGTATTCTCTAACTTGGTTTACAATCTAGGATTCATGGGAAAAGGGATTTTGGTGAATGTTTGGTCTAAGATCAAAGAATAATTGCTTTAGAGTCAGCATGGAACTTGTTTTAGATTCTCATAACTTAAAATCAAATTTGAAACTTAGCCCAGGAATATAATCATACATGATTGATTGTCAAGGGCATATTAGTGAATGGGTTAAAAATTTGTTTCCCCTGTGTTTGTATGCCATTTTTACATTTTGTCATCTATGCTTTCCATTGCAATGCTATCAGAGCTTTGTGGGTTTTCCAAAATGTCAGATTTAAACCCCAAACAAATAACTCGAAAATGTCTTCTGGGCAACTACATTTGAGAAGTGCTTTCCTTATCTGCCAATTTGTTATGGTACTGGTGGCACTTTGACTTCTGATGGATGCCACCTTCTTTTATCTGTTTTTCCTCTGTTTACTCGATGCTTATAATAAAATCATTTTGCGTTGAAAATTTGAAATACAAGCTACTTAACCAAGACTTATAATTCGGCCATAGGAGAAAGGAAAAGGGAAATGAGAATAAATTATTGTTGATTCAGTGCATCCATTCTCTTCATAGTTGTTATACCCCAGCTTCTTTTTTAGAATATATATCTGCGAATGAGTTGAATGGCTTAAGGCTAATCATTGTTGTTATGGATTTCAAAAGCTTTGCTTGCTCGATGGATTCTGAATATATATTTTCATTGACACGTGTTGTAGCCAATCCCCACTCAATATATACGCTTCATATGTATGTGATCTGCTTCGTGCAGGATGATGGAGTCTGGTTTGCTATCCAAGGACAAGGCGAAGGAAGTTTCCGAGAAGAATCCGAAAAAGGCACAGCAGCAGAAGCTCGGTTCAGCAAAGAAATCTGGCAAGAAAACCACGCGCGCTAAGAAGACGCAGACGCCTTCTCCGGCTGTCTCTACACAGAGAAAGAAAGCTTCTGGATCTGAAGCCAAACCGAAACAGTCAAACAAACGCAAGAAGGAGGATGATGATGACTCTGATGCTGAATCAGATGATGACTTTGTTCTGGCTCCAAGAAACCCAAAGAAACAGAAGGCTTCCTAGATTCTTTTTCATTAGTGAATCTTGGTTTTTCTAACCTAATTGAGAGAGAGAGAAAGAGAGATGCTCATTTCTGCTTCTGCAGCTACTTCTGGGCACCATTTTCTAACTAATTTTGTTAAAACTGGATTCTTTTGAATATTAAAATGTTAACAGTATTCACTCCCCTATTTCTTCAACCAATACTGCAATCCTTAAACTGCAATTGAATTATTAAATAAACAAAATGTGTAATCAAGACATTTTCTCAATTTCTCTCGGTAAAATTGCTTACATAGTATGTACAAAAAGTTTTCCCTTCATATGTTGTGCTAATTTCCATTTGGAAAACAATACTACTTAATACTTTCAAACTCTACTCCGAACTTCTACTCTCTCACAAATCTTAGATGTAGATAACTTTTTCTGGACCCACAAGATTAAAATGTCCTATCTAGAACTCTTTCCATTTGCATGTTTGGAGAACCTAGGTAAGAAGAGAAGAGGGTCAACTTTTCCTATTTCGCTAAATAGCTTGTAACTCAATTACACCTCTGTGGCTTTTTTAAATAGAATGTCACAAATTCAAATCTTAATAGAAGCAGTAGATATTACATTGTAATAGAGTATTTTTTTTTTAAAAAAAAAATCAAAGTTAAGGGAGTTATGGCACAAAAATTGAAAAGATGAGATATAAAGTGCAATGGAGGAAAAAGGGGGGCATGGTTGCAAACTGCAAAGTAGATAGGGGGTCCTTCTCAGCTTCAAATAATTTCTCTCTAACTTTCAAGTTTCAACACATTTTTCTTTCAAAAGTATTGTTCACCTTGGTCCGAAGTCACTCCACAAATGCTTGTGTTTCGGCCACTTGTTTATTTTGTCAATCTTATTACCCTCTGTTTCAGATTCTTTTTTCTTTGTTTATTTTCTTTAAAATTCTTTATTTATTTTAAAAATTGATTTGTTGTGTGCTAATAGTACTTTTAGTGACTTCTAAATATATAAATTTTGTATACTAATACTAAACTTAATATTATGAAAAATTAGATTAAAAATTACTTCAGTTAAACCTCGTTAACCGAACTAGACACATAAAATGGGATGGAAGAAGTAATTGTTTATTTCCTAGTTGCACCACACTAAAGACCCACCAATTATTATTCCATGAACTATGGTCCATACAACTGTATAGACCATAAATAAAAATTACATTTTTAATATACTAATAGAGCATTATTTGAGTATGTAAAGTATATTATTTTGTATATTATCAAATAATGTACTTTTAGCATATTAAAAATTACGTTGTATTCATGATCCACAGAGTTGTGTGGATCATGAGCAATACAAAAATGTGCCAAGACCCAAAGCCTTATTAATTAATAGTTATTGTGTGGATTGTGGTCCACACAGCTGTGTTGATTATTCAAGTATTTTATGGTTTGATGGCAGACTATTCCAAACGAAATATCAAAAATTCAAGCGGCATTTCAATTAAAGATATTAGCATAATAATGTTAAATAGATACTGCAGATAAGTTAAATTGATTTTATTTTTTATTTTTTTAAAGTTATTCAGTGTAACACCCTACAATGCAATTACTAGATAAATATCCGTTTCATGAATCATTATTGTGGTTGTAATTACTTGCTCGTAAAGCATTTAATTGGGCGTTTATCTACGCCATATTGGCTCAACAAATAAATAAACATTTGTCGTGAAAGAAGTGACAGAAATACAGAATAAATAAAGCATGATTATAGTATTAAAAAGTCATAAATTTAATTTTTATTAACACCTTTAACATTGAGTCAGTCACACACAGGATCTTTCTAATTTAGTTTCTATCCATACTTAAAAAAAATCTAATAACTAAATAATTTTTTAATGATTAGTAATTTCAAGCAATCAAAACAAAATAGAAAAGAAATTTTTTTCTCTCAATCTCTCACCTATATATTTCTTACCCCAAAAGGCTCAATCCCCAACCCTAAGGCCCCCCCACACTCCACCTATATATTTCTGTTTGATCATTTGCTTATCCATCATTTAAATTAGAATAGAGATAAGATCAAATAAATACTCGAACTATTTGAAAAAATGTAACTAGATCAATTAATTCAATAAAAGTTTTAATTAATTAATTGAACTTGTAAAAAATTACAACTTTACTATGTTGACTTGTTTTTATATGTAAAGATAAAGATAATTTTTTTAAAGGGAAAATAGTGGATATTATTAAAGCAAATGCTCAATACAAGGAGGAATCAAAGATAACTAACATAAAGGACCAGGTTGTGAATGAGCAACTCGTGCTAACACATGAACAATGTTGCATCTTTGTATTTTTATTACTACTATGGTTGCTGATGCTGCTGCTACTATATATATATATATATATTGTTTATCGTTGTCTATTTATCCCGTAGTACTAAATAATTATAGAGGTTATATACATATATATATATATATATATATATATATATATATATATATATATATATATATATATATATAGAGGGAAGGGTTCATGTTCGGGTGATACTTCCCGTGCGGTTGGACGCACCTTAAATATACAAATCACCATGCACCTTAAGCACACAAACAAAGCGCCTTAAGAACACAAATCACTCACATTAAGTACATAAATCACGCACCTTAAGCACATAACAAAGCACATTAAGCACCCCACACACTTAAGATTTTAAAATGGCTTACATCAAGCACAAACTCACGCACATTAAGCATAAAACCTAGACACATTAAACACAAACCTCACGCACATTAAGCATTAAACTGACGCACTTTAAGTATTAACTCACATGCCTTAAACTTCAATAACTACTGACATTAATCACTAACCCCACGCACTTTAAGCACAAACCTCACACACATTAAGCACAGACCTCACGCACCTTAAGTTTCAACATACTGACATTAATCACTAACCTCACGCACCTTAAGTTTCAACAACTACTGACATTAATTACTAATCTCACGCACCTTAAGCACAAACCACACGCACATTAAATTTACCTAGATGCAAAAATTACCAAAATGCCACCGCATTTTTTAATTTAATTTTGGTAATCTAAACGTTGATTTAAGTAAAATCAATGATTCTTCTTTCACTGCATAACCGCACCTGGCACCCTCAACCGCATAAGAATCCCTATATATATATATATATATATATATATATATATATATATATATATATATATATATATATATAAACATGTCTTTAGAAGAAAAATAAGAACAAATCTCACTTTTACATCTAGAAAAATTGAATAAATCGGATTTTTTTTAAACACGGTGATATTTTCGTAATTATCACAACCTTTACTATGAAAACTTAGACACTAAAATTTACAATACTCATACTTTTTCAGATTTGTACATTTAGTATCAAAAGATTGCACTTGCAAAAATGCGAAAGTGCATTACACTTAGATATTTGATTTTAGAGTTTATGATTACGTTATTGGTTTTATTTGGTTTAGTGGTTCACTTTTTACTATTTAAGATATAACATTTACTATTTAGATTTTAAAAAATTTAATATTTACAATTTAGATTTAACATTTATTTTCTCGTTGGTCTTATAAAATTCACAAGTTTACATATTTAGCTGATAAAAATTACATATTTCTCATATATACACACACACCCACAACTTATTCTAAAATTATTGGTATTAGGAAACTTTCCAACTTAAATAAGGAATCATACAACTGATACAATACTGCAAGTCGTTGTGGGCGCACGTGACCGTCTCACCCCAACACCAATCATCATTCTATTCTATCGTCGCCGCCGCAGCGGCGTCGCGGCCTCGCGGGAGCCTTTAAAAAACAAAAAAGAGAAAAGAAAAAAAAAGAAAACGTAAAGACCCAATAAACCTATGTTTTTATGATCGAATAGTAGAGCATAAACCCTAGGAATTGCTCTATCTATATCAGAGCGCCACGTGTCAATCGCCCCACCCCCGTCTTTGGATTTCCCTCATATACCCAAACCATCCTTCCCTCTCCCCCTCCAAACCCAAATCTCTTCCCTTTTGAGAGAGAGAAATTTGTACTGTGTTAGAGAGAGAGAGAGAGAGAGAGAGAGAGAGAGAGAGAGAGAGAGAGAGAATGGAGATGAAACGGAGTAATGTCTCTCCGACGTTGTTCGACGACGACGAGATTGAAGTTGCGAACATTCTGCTCGATCTCCGGAACCTAATCCGACAGTCCGATGTTCGCTTGAAATTGCGCGGTTTTACGCTCAGTTGGGGCTGTAAGCGGCGGAGATCTAACACTAACCGGAGCGCTACCGTCTCTCCTCCGCCGCCGCCGCCTCCTACCACCGCCGGCGTCAACTCGCCTTCTCCTTCACCGCCGCCGCCGGAGGATTCTCACGCAGACCCCGAAATTCCGGCAATTAAAACCGAGGTCTTAAGCCCCGCCACGCCGCTCTCCTTTTCCCCCAGTGAATCATCTGATGAGAAACCCGTCATCGTCTCTTCACGCAAACACTCCAAGAAAAGGGTGAATTTCGTGATCTCCATTTATATTATATATATATCATCAACTCTTCTCTTTTCTCTTTAACCCTCCATGATAGCATACAATTTTTAAAAAAATTCTCTGAGGTTTTCTTTTCTTTTACGATTTATTCGGAGAAATTATAATTAATGCGATGTTTTCTCTGTTTGGTTGTGGACTTGCAGACTAGAGAGGAATGGATGAAGAATCTTGATGAATTAAACCAGTGCAAAGAGGCGCTTATTGGGGTGAGTTGTAATTTCCTCATCACAGCAATTTTTTTTAATTTTTTTTTTTTGAATTTTGGTGATACAAATCTATTATTTATTTATTTATTTTTGTTTTTTTGGGTGATTGAATTGAATAGCAATTGGAGACTGTGAGGGCATATTACAACAAACAAATGGCTTACAATCTGGAGCTGAAAGCAAAGAAACAAGAGGTTTTTTTGATGATAATAATAATGATTTCTGTTGTCTCCTGTTTTTTTTTTTTTCTTTAATATATTTTTAAAAAATATTTTTTTGGGTATTTATTGAGATGAGTTGTATTTTATTTTTGTTTTATTTATTTATTTATTGGTTTACAGATACTGAGTATATCGCAAAAAGTTGAAGAGCCTAGTGGGCCGGATACAAGGGCAGGGCAAGGGTATCCGCAATATGAAAACCCAATAATTATCGATCCATTGGGCCAAAGATATCAATATCAGTTTGTGCAGAACGGCCCAAGGCAGGATTTGGTCTCAGCCCAAAATGGGATGGGCTACGTTTTAGGCCCAATTGGGATTCCGGATCTGAACGTTTCTCCAGAGGAGACTCTGGTGGTGGGGTCTTCGCAGCCGTTTGATGTTCAGAGAATGGAGGGTGGTGATAAGAAGACCAGATACGCGGAGGCTCGGAGGAACAGAATGGTTAAGAATAAGTTGAAGATTAAGAGTGGGTCCCATTCCATAACCCTTCCATGCCGAAGATGATAACTGCATTTTTTTTTTTTTTCAATTTATTGTTTTCATAGGGTAGTTTGCCTTAGTGGCTATTGGCTTATTCTCTAAGTGTAAATCATATGAGGTTTTGGGAAGATTTTTTGTTCAAAAATTTTGCAGAAGTTGATGCGACAATGTTGTATCATTTGACTTAGAAATGAAAATCATTCTTTAACTATAAATTTTGTGGTGAATTCAGTTAACTGTGTAATTTATGATTATCAAGTCCAATAATTTATCAACCACTTGTTTGGATTGCTACATTAACCAATTAGACAATTTTCATCCAGTCAAGAACAAGATAGAAAAACTTAATGGCCCTGTTTGGTAAAAAATTGATCTATAGGTCAATTTTGGATTATTTGACTACTATTAATTGTTTGGTTTAATTAAAATATCAATATAAATGTTTGATTAATTAGCTTTTTGCAACTCCAAAAGGCTAAAATTTAAAATGCTACTCCAAGCAACTTTTTCAATTAGCTTTTTGAGAAAAGAAATTATACCAAACAGCTATCAGCTAACAGCTAATTTACCAAACACTTTTCTACAATCAGCTAATGTTATCAACTATTTATACCCTCCAATTAACACAATCAGCTAACAGCCATTTTACCAAACAGGTCCAGTAAGTTATTTTTTCTTGTGGGTCTCAATACAAATGTCTACATCAAGATTTTTTGTGTGCAGAAATAAAAATTAGGAGTACAAAATGGAGTACATATAACATTTTCCAACAGAAATCAAGAGATGAAATTACAATTTGATGAGACAATAAGAAAAAACGTTAATGAAAATGAAAGGAGAAAGAGGAAACAGAGTTCACATTACAGAAAACAAACAAGGATAAAACAACAATAATGTATGGTGGTGTGGATGTTCAGAGGTCGTCGTGGTCGTCGGCGCCGTCCTCATACTCTTCGTCATCCACAGTGGCGTCTTGGTATTGCTGGTACTCTGCAACCAAATCATTCATATTGCTCTCGGCTTCAGTGAACTCCATCTCATCCATTCCTTCACCGGTGTACCAATGCAAGAAAGCCTTGCGCCTAAACATGGCGGTGAACTGCTCGCTCACCCTCCTGAACATCTCCTGGATGGAGGTGGAGTTGCCGACGAATGTGGACGCGAGCTTGAGCCCGGTGGGGGGAATGTCACACACGCTGGACTTCACGTTGTTGGGGATCCATTCGACGAAGTAGGACGAGTTCTTGTTCTGGACATTGATCATCTGTTCGTCCACCTCTTTGGTGCTCATCTTCCCTCGGAACATGGCGGAGGCGGTCAGGTAGCGGCCGTGGCGAGGGTCGGCGGCGCACATCATGTTCTTGGCGTCCCACATTTGCTGTGTCAGCTCCGGGACTGTGAGAGAGATGTATTGCTGTGATCCGCGGGAGGTCAGTGGCGCAAAGCCAACCATGAAGAAATGGAGGCGTGGGAAAGGGATCAGATTCACTGCCAGCTTCCGGAGGTCTGAGTTCAACTGCCCTGGGAACCTCAAGCAGCAGGTTACTCCACTCATTGTTGCAGAAATCAAATGGTTCAGGTCACCAACTGCAAATCATTTTATTTGTCTGGTTCGATTAAATATGTTATGTATAAGACATAAAATAAGATGTAATATAGTCAGTGTTGCAAAAATCCCGCTTAGGCACCGTTAAAGTACCGGCCGACTAGTGTATCACTATAATCGATGGTCTAGGCGTCTGGCGCACCGATTAATGGGAGCCTAAGTGCTAGGTATTGACCGGCCGACTAGTGTATCACTATAATCGGTGGTCTAGGCGTCTGGCCGGCTAGGCACCGACTAGGTCGCATAGTCGGCTGATTAACTATTGTTCCATTCATTTTTAAATGAGTTATTTCATTCAAAACGATACCGTTTTGAGTGAAATAGCGTCTAGGCACACTAGGCTAGCGATTTTTTCGAGTGTAGTTAATGTTACTCACAGCTTGGAGTGCTGAGCTTCAAAGTTCTGAAACAGATATCATAGAGAGCTTCATTATCAAGGACCATGCATTCATCTGCATTCTCCACCAACTGATGAACTGAGAGTGTGGCATTGTATGGCTCAACAACAGTGTCAGAGACTTTAGGTGATGGGAAAACAGAGAAGGTGAGCATCATTCTATCAGGATAATCCTCCCTTATCTTCGAAATCAAGAGAGTTCCCATCCCAGAACCTGTGCCTCCTCCAAGTGAGTGACAAACCTGGAAACCTGCAGACAAAATCAAAAGGAGGAACAACAGTCTGCTTCTTTTCCATCTTCCTATTTTCTCAGTATCAGTGCATAATCACATTTGCATTGATATTGAATTGAAGTTTTTCCATATTCCTGATAAATAAACCAAACAATAGTCTGCTCTACAAAAGGAAAGCATTAAACAGGTCCATTAATCTTCAACTGACTCTAAACTAGAAGTGCAAGTAGTAGCCAGTAAATGATCATTAATATCATGAATCTCATTGGAAGAATCATTAAAATTCATCAGAATCTACAGAACCAAATCAATTCGAAAGTGGAAATGTTTGTTCAGACAAATCACAAACAAATGCTGAAAATTCAAAAACAAATTACGATGAATTGGAAAATTACCTTGCATACAGTCACAATTCTCAGCCTCCTTACGCACAACATCGAGAACGGAATCGATGAGCTCAGCGCCTTCGGTGTAATGTCCCTTGGCCCAGTTATTCCCCGCACCGTTCTGTCCGAAGACAAAGTTATCCGGTCTGAAGATCTGGCCGAACGGTCCCGATCGAATGCTATCCATCGTACCAGGCTCGAGATCCATAAGGACGGCACGCGGCACGTACCGGCCACCGGAAGCCTCATTGAAATACACATTGATGCGCTCGAGCTGGAGATCGCCGGCGCCGCTGCCGGCGTCGCCGCCCTTGTAACGGCCGGTGGAGTCAATGCCGTGCTCGTCGCAGATAACTTCCCAGAATTTGGAGCCAATTTGATTGCCGCATTGGCCTCCCTGAATGTGTAAGATCTCTCTCATGATTAATCAATCCCCTCTGTATATCTTTTTCTGGAATCGCAATCAAATGGAAAACTGGAAGGGCGATGAGGGAAATTGGGATGAAGAGAGGGAGAATATTTATATTCCAACCATTTCAGCGTTCGAAAGGCAAGCGGGAAAACAGACAGCATAACTGATCGAGAGTGGAAATCGGATGTGGCCCCCACGTGGGTATCAAACTATCAATATATACACATTATTAAATGATAGAGACATTATTAACCATCAAAATATTAATGTATTGCCATATAATTAATTAACAATTAAATCGTGATTTTTTTTAATAAAAGATACAAATTTCACTTGACACTACGAAAAAATGTGTTTTAATTGATCATATATAGGGTTTAAGACTATATTACTGAAAATCAAAAAGTAGAGGCAATATCATCACTAAAAAAAATGTATCTTTATAATCTACTAATAAATATCATAACTAGATTACTAATTAATTTACAATTTAGGGTGTGTTTGGTTCGCACATAGGAATCGAAATCGGAATGGGTATCAAATACTTGGTAATGGTAATGGGTTTTGATGAAAGTATTTAACATGTTTGGTAGTATGGTGGAATGAGAATGATTACTAATAGTAGTGCTTGAAAATGAATAAGGGAATGAAACCCTTATTATATTTGGGTATGAGTTTTTCAATTGATGGGGTATTCGAAACCCATAGTAGTGTTCTAAAAACCTATCAACCAAACAACAACAATCATTTTCATACCCATTCCTATGGGCAAAACCCACCAACCAAACACACCCTTAGTTTAATTTATATAATTTGAATTATATTATATGTAGTATACATTATTTATTTCAAAAGTTGTGACATAAAGTTTAAAATATTAATTAAAATTAAATTGTAAAGTGTGACAATAATGGAGATTTAGGCCCTCTTTGGTAAAATATTAGTCTATTAGTTAATTTTGGGCAAAAAGTAACTCTGTTTTCCGCCGTTCCGCACCCTTCCGCAAAAAGTAACTCTGTTATTCAGTTTCATTTTGTATAGACTGCAGTTTCAGTTCAACACAACTACAGTTTCATTTCGATATAACTACAGTTTCATTCAATATTTATAGACTCAAATATGTGAAAATGTTATTTTATTTTATTTTATATGCACTATAGTTTTATTAAAACACAACTACATGATCATTTTGATTTAATTACAGCTTCATTGTACAAATACACTCAAATATGTGAAATGTTATTCAGTTTCATTTTATATACACTGCAGTTTCATTTGATAATATAAAAATACTACGTGAGACAATGTATGCTTATATATACTGTAGTGTCAATTGGTGTTTAATACACCAAACATGTGGACTCCGTTAGCGGTAACGGCAGGCCGTTTCTTTAGCGGTAACATGTGGAAACGGCGCCATTTTTTTACCACGGTGCATGTGCACCGCGGTCTAATTGCCAATTTTGGCGTATTTGACAACTATTAATCATTTGACTTGGTTAAAAAATCAACTCTAAAATGTTAAAATTCAAAAAGCTACTCAAAGCAGCTTTTTCAATTAGCTTTTTGAGAAAAGAAATTATACCAAATAGCTATCAGCTAACAACTAATTTACCAAACACCTTCATACAATTAACTAATATTATTAACTAGTTATACCATCTAATCAACCAATCAACTAACACAGCTAACAATCATTTACCAAACAGGACGTTACTGTTTATCATCTTTAAAAAGGTGTGATTTGCAAACAAATTACTCAAACTTTAAGTTAGGAGTGCATGCAAGTTTGCAGGACTGCTGCCAGCAAGGATGGCCCCTATAATTGTTGTGGAGGATGAGGTGGTGGTTATGTGTTCCCCGTTGGAGCCCAATATAGTTGCGGGGTTAGATGGCAGGTCCATTGCAAAAGTTTAGTCATAGTCATGTATTTTTAATATGAAAATGACGTTTTATTCACTCGATTACTTATTTCCAAACAATTTATTTAGTATATTTAGTTAAGGGAAAATTGTAAAAAATGTCCATTTATAATATGTCAATTATCAATGTCACCATTGAATTATGAGTGGTGTAAATATTGCTCATCAATTATCAAAATGGTGCACATATAGCCCCTCCCGTAACGGATCTGTGGTTCCCCACCGCTGTCTATCGCTGGTACTTCGAATCGAATGAGGGAAAAAAACAACTAAATTACATATTTATTACGACTTAACGGTGTCGTACACTAACGGGGAACCACATATCCGTTACGGGAGGGGCTATATGTGCACCGTTTTGATAATTGAGTGACAACATTTACGCCACTCATAATACAGAGGTGATATTGATAATTGGCATATTATAGATGGCATTTTTTACAATTTTCCCTTTAATTAATGATATTGATATAATTTTGAATAATTACTCTTCAATTTCTTATAAATGATTAAATTTGATGAATATTTTTAGAGTTCACGAGCCATAATTAATAGGGGACAAGACAAAATTATAAAGTTGATTTTCAAATCGTAACTATTCAAACTCAACTGGACAATCATTATACTGTAAATCAGGGGGCCCCGCGCCTCCAAAAACGACGTAGTTTTGTATTCTGTTATAAAATTATGTGTTTTCAGGTATAAAATTTTGTACATTCGAAATTAGGGATTTTTATCTTTTTAAAAAAGATTATGTGTTTTTAGGTATAAAATTATGTATTTTCAGGTATAAAATTACGTGTTTTCTATTATATAATTCTGTACATCCGAAACATGGAAATTTTCAATTATAAAATTATGTGTTTTCTATTATATAATTCTGTACATTCGAAACATGGGGATTTTCAGTTATAAAAATTATGTATTTTCAGATATAAAATTATGTGTTTTCAGGTATAAATTTTTTTGTTTTCAAGTATAAAATTTTATGTTTTCTATTATACAATTCTGTATATTCGAAACATAATTTTTTTCTTAAGAAATTAACAGCAAACACGCGAAAAGGATACAAAACGACATCTTTTTGAGCCAGGTCGCACAATGCACTGCGCCCTGGTGCACAGTATAATTTGCCTCAACCGGATTAGAACATCCATTATTGGGACGTTATGCCATGGAACCGTGTTCACCATTCATGGTGAACACGGTTCCAACGGTGTTAGTACACCGTTATCTTTTTTTTTTTTTTTTTTTTTTTTTTTTTTTTTTCTTAATTAATTGCGTGACTTTTCTTCTTTATTTTCAAATTTTGCGGTTTCACTTTAATTTGAGGTGAACAAAGATTTCGGACATTCATCAATTATGAATTCATGCCTGCACATTCACTTTGGAACCATGCCTACACATTCCCGTCCGAAATCACGGACATTCATAAATTATGAATCCATGCCTGCACATTCACTTTGGAACCATGCCTACACATTCACTTTGGAACCATGAGATTATGAATTTTCTGTTATAAGATTATGAATTTTCTGTTATGAGATTATGAATTTTCAGTTATGAGATTATGAATTTTCTGTTATGCGATTATGAATTTTCTGTTATGAGATTATGAATTTTCATTACATTCATAATTTCGGACATTCATAAATTATGAATTCATGCCTGCACATTCACTTTGGAACCATGCCTACATATTCCCGTCCGAAATCACGGACATTCATAAATTATGAATCCATGCCTGCACATTCACTTTGGAACCATGCCTACATATTCCCGTCCGAAATCACGGACATTCATAAATTATGAATCCATGCCTGCACATTCACTTTGGAACCATGCCTACACATTCACTTTGGGACCATGAGATTATGAATTTTCTGTTATAAGATTATGAATTTTCTGTTATGAGATTATGAATTTTCAGTTGTGAGATTATGAATTTTCTGTTATGCGATTATGAATTTTCTGTTATGAGATTATGAATTTTATAAAATTCATAATCTCATAACAAAAAATCCATAATTTGATCAAGCGCGCGCCGTTAACTCCACATCTGCGAAATTTTTTTTTTGGCCTAAAAACGACGTCATTTTGCCTTGTATTCACCATTCTCCGTGAACACGATTCCATGGCATAATTTGCGTCCATTATTGCCTTAAACATTTTAAAGTTGGGCTTCGTAACGGAGAATTGGGCCGATGAACAAATGAGGCAAGGCCCGTGGAGCTCAAAACAGTAGATCATTGTCAGATAAACCCTAGATAAAGCTCCTCCTTCATTCCTATTTAATCTGAAAATGAGAAGAATCCATCCATCATATCTAGACGGAGTCGATCCTGTTTCTGTTTCACATCTTCTTCTTATTTTCTTCTTCTTTGTTGGTTTAGATTAGATAGAATTAATTAAAGCATTTACGAACGATCCGACGGGGAATTCGATTCTCCGACGTCCCGTGTGATGAATTTGGATTCAATTACTCACGACGGTCGTCCGATTCACCTCCGGGTGCTGTGATGCAATGATCCAAAATACCTGACGGTTGTTTGATCGGAAATTGTTGTTTTGCTTGCTTGTCATGTTTAATGTAGGAATTATTATGATTTTGGTTGTTTTGGAGGCGAGCATGATGATGATGAACACAAGTTTTTCCGATTACTGGCATGAACGGAATATTAAACCTCCTACTCATTCTGAATGCTTGCTTCCAATCTTCATTTTTATTTTCTTTAATTACTAATTGCACCAAAGCCTATTGGGACAAGCTAGTGAGTAATGATGCTTGGATAGTAATTTTAAGAATTATGCTAATGGTGGTCTTTTTTGTTTTGTTTTGTTTTTTTTCATCTAAAAATAAGTATTTTTCTATGGCGTTGTTGATTTTAAAACTTAATTTCTTTTAACTCTAATAAATAGTACAATTTGATAATTTAATTGAAAAAAATAAAATAAAGACAGAATTATGAGATTAACCCTTTCATTTTGTGGTGATATTGGGATTGTGTCATTTATTTGACACATTTTTTGTAATTTAATAGAAACTTCAGACTTGTCAATGGGACTCCATAAATTGGTAAAATTGTGTTGGCACATACTAGGCTAGGGCTATCTCTACCTTTAAAAGTGAGGCCTTTTGCAAGATAATGTGGCTACATAATTGATTTTTATTTTTTGTTGTTGTTATTGTGAACATCTCTAGTAATTGTAATTTTTTTAGAAGTTTTTGCGAGTGTGATTAGAAAAAAAAAATGAGAGTGAAGAAAAAAAAATTTGAAAAAAAAAAACAAAAAAGAAAAGAATAAAGATTTATGCGCCCTCCCCCCACATTGCATTAGTGCATGCGCTCAGACGTGAGTTTTTTGTGGAGACAACTAGCAAGAGTCCTAAAATCTTTTTTCCTCTGCATAAGCTATATATTTGTTCTCCACATAAGTTATATTCTCCTAAAAAATTAAGTGCAATTAAACACCTTTGGAGGAAGGGAGAATGATGGTCTATTGATAAAGTAAAGGACTATTGGAGGTAAGCGGTTAATTAAGAAACAAGCTGTATGAACTGCACCTAACTAGTATACTTTCTTTGGGAACTTTCATTTGAAACAGCAAGGCTCGAGCAACCTCCAACAGATGGTGATTCTTATGTTTTGTCACACTATTATGTTGAGGAGTGCTGACACAAACGAGAGAAATAATTGATCCTCAAAATTTGAGTAAATTCTTGATGAGGATGCTCGTAGGAGTAATGTAAACTTGATAATCTTGTATGTTTGCAAAGTATAAAAAATTATTATTGGACTTTTTAAAAAAATTTATTTTATTATTATTTTGTTATTTTATTGCAGAGTGATATGAAAAGGATACTACTTTTAAATGTGAAGATTCCAATTTGAAAGTGAATATAAGACTCTATTTTAAAAGTGGAAGAGTATTTCAAAGAATAGCCTAACATGTGGTGATATGTTCAATTGCACTATTTGCTAAAAAAGAACAAATTTCAAGGAGCAGTTTGCAATAGATGTGAATGTTTAAGATACCTGAACTTGTGACACTAGAAGCTAGCCAATGGCAACCTCCCACGTAGACAACAAATCTTCTTCAGTCTTCACGGCATGCTAAATATTCCAAGTAAGCCGGTGACTGCTGACTTGGACAAATATAGTATCATTTCTTTTATAATAAATAAATAATAAAGTAGGGTATGACCATTTCAATTCAAATTGCACCAAAAAGTATTACAGCCAGTGGGTCCCGTTAGTCTGACTGATGTTAATGCTTCCTTGGACGAATTGACCTTACTGCCCTTTGAAAACTATTCTCATACCATTTAATAAAGGAAAATATTATGGCTCTATTTGGTAAATTGTTGGCCTATAAGCCAATTTTAGTAACAAATTTGATTAAAATAATTTGATCACTATTAATTTGATTAGGAAAATAATTTAATCACTATTAATTATTTAATTTGGTTAAAAAATAATGTTTGGTTAATTAGCTTTTTGTAACTTCAAAATGCTAAAACTAAAAAATCTACTCCAAACAACTTTTTCAAACACCTTTTACAATCCGCTAATGTAAGTCACCTATCACGAGGAGATAATTTTACACATTTTGAAACACGCTTCTATTTGGTATCAGAACCAGACCAAAGGTCATGAGTTCGAATCTCGCCACCCATAAGCGACTACGGTTCATTTGCTTGGAACTCACCGCATATAACTATTAATGTGACTATCAGCACAGCTTCAATTTGGTGATGGGAAGTTGGGAACCCAAAGGGTAAGACTGGAAAATCAAGCAGCTGAAGGCTGACGCTGTCATATAAAATCGAACCCGCGGAACAATGGGCATTGACTGATTTCCCGCCTGCTTTTCTTTCAGACTCGCACTGTTTTTTCCCAGTTACGGAGTATTTTTTACTCACTTTCTTCAATTCTCTCTTTTCTGATCAGTCAAACAAATCCAAAACAAAAGAAGAAGAAAGAAAGAGTAGAGTCTGGGTCAAGTCTTGTTGAGGCAATCTGAGAATTCAATTCCGAACGTATCCTGAAATCCAGAACAGATTTCTCGTTTCCCCTCGTCGGATTGCGAGGTATTAAATGCATGCCCTTATGCCCATCCATCAACCCCACAAATTCCCTCACCCATCACATTTTTCTCCGCCGCTTTATAGCTATTCCGTGTCGTTTCTGCTGTGAAAGTTTTGATCTTTACGTGTAAGCTTTGACGGATTCGTTGTTTTGATTCTTTAAGAATGATTTTGTGATTGATAGGCGGAGAAGTTGCAGAAGTTTTGGCCTTGGGTTTGCTTTTTTTTTTTTTGTTCTAAAATTTTAGGTTGGATTGGTAGAAGCATGGGGGCAGTGTGTCCAGGAGGAACGGCGCGGAGTAGATCCGTGGTTCACCATGAGAGAAGTTCAGGGCGGCCGAGGAAGAGTAAGGCAAGGAAGAATTATGAGGGCAATGAAGATATGGATGCCTCTGGGGAAATGCAGAATCTTTATGATTCTGGTGAATTGAGCTTCTCTGGGGAGTTGAAGCCCTCCACTCCTGCAAGATTTGGGGCTGCTAACATGGTATGCACACACAATTTTTTTTTTTTTTTTTTTTTTTGTTTTTTCGGTGACGAGGGAAACCTGTATCCATTACTCATAGTCTGTCTTATGATCCTAGTCGACAAATGATCCCGAGGTAAAAAAAAAAAAACCTAGGCGATCAATAGATGATTGCCTCAAACCAAGAAGCCTAATTAGGTATGACCTTAGCTGTCAAAGGATCACAAGAAAGGTAAAACAACCTAGATTGCTCACCGGCTCAAATCAAGAAGGCTAATTTGTTTGATCACCCTGGGAGTCGAACTTGGAATCTTGTGTTTTCCAAGTCAATAGTTGACTAACTTGGTTGGGTTGTCCCCGTATGTATACACAATTTGAGTTTGGTGTAGAGTGCTGGTTTCTTAGTCATTGTTTGTTCAATGATTACTCTATGATCTATCATTTTGTATAATCTGGTTTCTTTATCATTGTCTGTTCAATGTGATTACTCTATAGTCTATCATTTTGTATGTTTGTATAATAATCCTGGTGTTTGATCATGTGAATCATTGATTGGATGATCATGTGAAAATTGAAAGCTGGCAGGGTAAAGGCTGTCCATTTGGTCGATTCTTGAATAAGTTTTTGTGTGAGTTGAGGTTTTGGTTGATTCTTGAATAAGTTTTTGTGTGAGTTGAGGTTTTGGTCGATGCTTGGAAAAGTTTCTCGTTACTGGAGTAACCTATTCTTGTTGTGACAGGCATGTCAAGCGAGCTCGTTTCTTGGAAAAGCTAGCATAGTTGGCCTAGAGAAGGCGGTAGAAGTTATAGACACATTAGGCTGCAGTGTGACGAATTTGAACAACAGTGGGTTTATTTTCGTTATGGGATCGAAAGGGAATGGAATATCTATACTGGCATTCGAGGTTGCTAATACCATCACCAAAGCCGTAAACTTATTGCAATCTCTATCTAAAGAAAACATCCAGTACTTGAAAGATGAAATCTTACGTTCCAAATCCGTACAAGAATTGGTCTCTACTGATAAGAAGGAGCTGCTCAGTATAGCTGCTGCTGACAAAAGGTTAGCATCATCGCCACTTCATTACTGCATAAAAGAAAGTTGTTAGAAATGGATTGACCGTTTTATGTACTTTTTATAGGGTGGAATTTAAAGTTTTCTCCCAAGAAGTAGTGAGATTTGGAAATATGTGTAAAGACCCGCAATGGCACAACCTTGATCGGTATTTCTCAACGTAAGGCAGATAGATACTTCATACCATGAATTAGCCGAGGCAGTCTGGTAATTTGCGTGGATATAAATCTCGTTTTATGTTTGCGTATTTCAGGTTGGATTCTAACCCTGTAAGCCATGAACAATTCAGAGAGGAGGCTGATATGACTATGCAAGAATTGGTGACTCTCGCTCAGCATACTTCTGTAAGATTATTGTCTTTTTGCTCGATATTTTGCATTCTTTTTATAAAGCCTACTCGTTTTTATAGGTATGATTAATCGTGCTGAATCTGCAGGAATTGTATCACGAGTTCCATTCTTTGGACCGATTTGAGCAAGACTATCGGAAGAAAATTGTGGAATTAGACTCTTTAAGCCTACCTCGAAAAGGTTTGTTGCAGATAATTGAGAACTATTATTACTATATGCGAGATTGTCGTTTCTTGATTGGCCAAACTTTTCCTTCTCATTATAGGGGAGAGTCTCATGATGTTTCACAGTGATCTAAAACATCAAAGAAAACTCGTGAGGGGATTGAAGAAGAAATCCCTTTGGTCGAAAAGTCTGGAAGAGGTCGGTACTTCTCAAAAAATATTTTGCTCGTCTTGAAACCTAATGTTCCCTTCATGGAAATAGGAAATTGCTCGTTTCTTGATCTTCTCCAATGCTTATATAGGTTGTCGAGAAGCTTGTGGATATCGTGATCTTCATTCATCAAGAGATCTTGGAAGCATTTGGAGATGGTGGTATAATAGCTTAACACCTTCTCTCGACTCTCATCTATATTCTCTTTAAGAACATTGCATAGTCTGTTTAAGGTTCCCTTTCTTCTGATGCCATGCTTTTAAGCTTCAGATCGCGATAACCCTCGAAGTAAAATTCGTTTTTTTGACCAGGATTGATGCGTGTGGGCAAGGAGCCTGCAAAGAAACGAGAAAGATTAGGCGTGGCTGGTCTTGCTTTACATTACGCTAACCTAATCACTAAAATAGATAACATTGTGAGTATGAAAATGACTTTATTGGTTTGGTTAGTGTAAACGCGTTTGCTTAATGAAACTAAATATATTGTCAGGCCTTACGCCCTACTTCTCTTTCTCCGGGTGCGAGGGATGCATTGTATAACGCTTTACCACCTGCTGTAAAAACAGCTCTTCGTTCTCGGCTACAGGCACCAGATATGAAGAAGGAGGTTTGTCTTCCAGATTTGTTCGACCATTTTTCTTCCATTATCACATTTTTTACTCATTTTGCTACATACACAACAAAAATGAATCATTGGGAGCTGTTTGAGACCCAATTTTCTTCGGCTATGTCTGGCAAACCTAGCTGAAAAGGTAGCTGAAAGCTGAAAAGCTATAAGCTAGAAGCTGAAAACTGAAGAGCTGTTAAGCTAGTTGATTATGAAGTGTTTGGTAAATAAGCTCTTATTTTAAGCTACTAGCTTATTTTGGTAATATTTTCCAAAATAAGCTATAGCTTATTAGTAACTTAAAATAAACTATAAGCTCCTAAATAAGCTTTCTGCCAAACATAGCCTTCATCAATAAACAATATGTATGTAACATCAAATATGTGCTGTACAATCTTCCTTTTGCAGCTCACAGTTGCTCAAATCAAAGCTGAAATGGAGAAGACGCTCGAGTGGCTTGTTCCAGTAGCTACTGATACAACAAAGTATGTAAAACGCGTGTTTCTTTGTACCCAAACAGCTAAGCATTCCATTCTTTCTGTTCTCCTGCAAATTCAAATTTCGCATATTTAAACAAATTTTGCTTCTTTTGCTGGCCACTGGAGCACAGAGCGCATCAAGGATTTGGATGGGTTGGAGAGTGGGCACAAAACGGGTCAGTAAACGAAACGACTTCCTTTCCTCTCCTTTCTTTGCAACTTCTTAGAGGAACTTAACGGTGTTCATTCTTGACTGCAGAAACGAGCTTCTGGAGAAGAAGGGAGGAACCAAGAATAGCTTCATCCATTTACAGACGCTTTACCATGCAGACAAAACCAAAATGGACTCTCTCATCCTCGAACTCGTGGCATTCCTTCATCGTCTCATCACCCTCGTGAAACTCAACGAGTCGAGGGCTCTGCCCGCGAGATCACCCACGCACAAAAGCCTCGCTCTGCACATTGAAACGCCCAACGCAGCCCAGCTTTCTCTGGACGATATAAACCTTCTGGAAGAAGTCACGAGAAGGAGAAAGCTTATGGCTCCTGGAAGAAGCAAGAGCCAAGAATTCTCGGCCCCCGAGAAGGGAAGGAATCAGGCTCGGGCGCTGATCAGCAGAAGCGCTGGCAGCTCTCCTCGTGCAAAGATCGAACGCCCAAAGGCGAATGCTAATGCATTGGATATTCTTGATGGGTTACATTCAAGGTATTGAGTTCTTTGATAACATAGAGAGATCAAACATTGATTTTTTCATTAAATTCTGTACTTTAGGATGATTTTGGTGATACAGAAGGTGTATTATGTTTAGGTTGCACAGATCAATTGTATGTCCCATCCCGTCGCGGAGTAGTTTAGGACTGGCTCACGGGTTTTAACCACTCCGTGATTCAGAACTGACTCACGCGTTTTGGCCATCTTGACAGCCTTAATTGTATATCATAACTGAACAATCAATTTCTTTTTAATGTCGTAAACATGTTATTCGATAATCATGGAAGCTTATCATTGCAATTGCCTAAGTGCTTCCAATTTGCTCCTTATAAAAGCGAGGAGGCAATAACTTCTTCGGGGTCTCCCCTCCCTATTGATAAAAAATATTGAATTTCATATAAAATTTTAATGATAAAAAATAGACACAAACTAAAAACAATTTCACAATCATTGAGATAGATTCGGAAAGAACCAATCTTAACCATACTACTAGTGTCTGGTTGAGAATAACATAGGAGAAGTGTCTGGCACAAATAATACAAGAGGGCAAGTGGTAGATAAAGAAAAGCTAGCTATGTTGACTTTCACTCATTATATTCTTTTACATTTATCCAACAAGGCAACAATACCTAGTTTTAATTTTAAAATAAATTTTTTTATTTAATTCATAATAGGAACAATTAATTCATATTTATCTAATAAATATAAAACAAAATTATTATCACGCTAGAAAGTAAAATTAGAAAAGAAAAAAATAATGTTTTTTGTTTGTAGTAATGTTTTTGGTAGTAGTAGTAGTCAAATATGTAATTATTTAGTCTTGGAAAAGGTGGCCAAATAGGTGTATTGATTTTTTGGTGTACATAAGGTTTTCACAGTCAGATATCGTGATTAATTCTTTTCCTTCGCTGAATTGTAGGCAACTATTTTGGATGGAACAACTGACCTGGAGATTTAAAGCTGCTTCATACTCAAAGTCAATGATCGAACCCTTGACCTTTGGTTAAGGATGTATGAGTCCATTTCACTCAACCACACCCCAGGTTTAAATAGGTGTAATATGATTATTGTGCCATAAAGTCACAAGTTTGATTCTTATCAACAACCTTCCGGTCGAGCCTATGGTGCATAACCTTCTTATATTATAATTTATCTCTCATGTGTAATTTGCGAGCTATTAAAAATGAGTAGAGTTTACCTAGTACACACCCGACGGTAGATTTCCCTTGTTACAAAAGAAATATAAATATTTAATATGAGTTCAACGCTTTGAGTTATTGTGAAATTTTACTTAAGAATCTTAATTTTAGGTTGAGTGTACATGTATAAAGGAACATTTGACATTAATTAATTACTTAATCATGTTTATGTTAACATTAACAAACCTGGTACCAACAAGAAATGTAGGGAAGCACCGGCTTTCTGACAATCTGCGGTTTCTTTTTTCTTGATAAGGAAACCAAACCGCCGACGCCCATGTGCAGTGATTGCTTGCAGTTGGATCAACGGTTGCCATATACGTTGCACCTTCATCTTTTATCATTCTTCTATATAGTTTTCTATATCATAATGCAAACCCCTATTAGTCCTTTAACTTCATTAATTGTAAACCGTGGGCGGAGACCCAAAGCTTAGTTGTGTAGGTCCTACACTATTTAAGTCGGAGAATTTAAATTTTTAAAATAATTATCTGACTACGATCATTTCTTAAATTGGTCCTATGACCTTTAATTAAACTCAAGTTAATCATTTAACTATCAGATTTTAAGCTAAATTGATCATTTGTTAGTTAGGTGTGACTGTGAATTGATCTCCCCTAGCGACATTTATCACAAATGTTGAATTTAGTTTTAGTTACACATATTTCTGAAGCCTTGATTCTTGGTAAAATGAGCCCCTCCCTTAGACCATAAAGTTTTGTTGTCAAGCCATTTGATCTCTCCGTTTAGTTTTAACTGTGAAATCAATAATTCATTTCCTGTAATGATTCTATACCAGGCTTCCTATACTAGTTAACCATGACCTTACTTTACAAACATAAGCTATATTCATTTTTAGTCAACCCTCTAACATGCATATCAATAATTGTATACAAATAAAAATTTTCTATGACTCAAAGTTTTTTTTTTTTTTTAGAAATGCCTATAAACTTCAAATATATTAGATAAGTACTACATATGTGACTTTAAGTAATCTGATTTACAAGTGATTTTTTCATAAAATTAAAAGAAAAAAAAAAGTAATTAAGAGCAACCCCAATAAGGGGGTTGTGCGCATGTTTTGAGAAAAAAATGACAAGGTGGAGGAGAGAGGAAAAATGAGAGAGATGAGAGGGTGTCTCTTGCAAAGATCCAAGATTTTGCAGAAAAATAGGACCCACATCAAAGAAATTTCATCGTGTCTGCCTCGTGTGAAAGCCAAATTTGTGCCCAATGGGCATGTGCATTGCACGCGCCCACTAGATACGTAAACGGCTCAGTTTACATCTTTTCTTTTAAAATTAGATTTGTTTTTATTATATTTTTTCTTTTTCCTCTTATATTCTTTTTTCTAATCACGCTTTTAAAAATTACACCAAAATCCTAACTATTGAAAATGCCCAAGTAAAAGAATTTGTATTAGACATGCAATGATAGTAGTCCTAGTCTAATAACTAAGAGACAGCGACAAAATGATTCCAGCTGTCCAGCTGGCAGTGGATGAGGAGAGTAAATTAAGGATGTCTGACATAGTGACTCAGCAAGCATCCCTTATCCATAACTTTTGGACACGTGGGCCCACTCAAATGGATAAGTCCAAACTAGGCCCAATAGAAATAGCCTTCTAGATCCAATTCCACGCCGACACCGCATCACATCCAACTGTCTCTTCGCAACTATAAATACTCCCCATTAGTTGAACCGTCTGCTATCCAGATTACACTTTTATCCACAACAGCGAAATTTCAACGATCCAATTCATAATGGCTTCCACATCTGCTTCGTTTCTTCTCTCTTCTCCGTTCGTCGGTTCCGCGATTTCCGCGGCGGAGGTTGCTCGGCCGAGGTGCGTCAGTTTCCGACGGCCGGTTTCCGTCTCCGCCTCCTGCGCGACGGCCGAGAGGACCGCGCAGACTCCGCAGAGTTCGCTATACGACGTTCTAGGGATTCGGACGGGCGCCTCGGGCCAGGAAATCAAAGCGGCGTACCGGAGATTGGCTAGGGTTTTGCACCCCGACGTGGCGTCCGGCAGCGTAATGCGGGAGTCGGCGGCGGCGGCGGCGTCGCCGGCGGAGGATTTCATCAGAGTTCACGCGGCGTACTCCACTCTCTCCGATCCGGAAAAGCGCGCCAATTACGACCGCTCGCTCCTCCGATCTCGGCATCCTGCTGCCTCGGTGAGAGGATACTCCGGCCGCAGATCTGCTCTTAGAAAATGGGAGACAGATCAATGCTGGTAGCTCCGGCGCCGCCGCAGATCGCGGAAATTCATGTTCTTCTTCTTTGATAGGTGCAGATCTCAACACTTTGTACAGAATCGACTCGAATTTGAGATTCGAGTTTGTAGCTAGGTTTGATGCTAAAGTTCATTGTGATTTACATTCAGACGCTTATTTTTGAAGTCTGAATCCGTATCATGAATGAAACAAAAGAAGTTTCTAATTTCTGCGGATTGTTTTGACTTCTGAACTGCGTAATCTGAAACGTCACAACAATATTTGACTTCACAGAAATTCAAACACTTGTCTAGAACTAATTGGATAATCAACAAAATCAGACTCTTCTGTAACGTTTGGCACCTCTTCCGGGTCGCGCTGCATTTTTTTGAATTAAAGTATCTCTTTTAATATGAGCATACCGATGTTGAGATTTCTTCAGTTAATAGTCAGAATTGAGACTGGTCATGACAAATAGCGATAAACTTTCTTGGAAACATTCTTTGCACGCTATAAACTTTTCTGAAAGAGTGACAAAGCTTTAACCCGAAACACAAAAATTCATAACATAAGAAACAACTATTAAGGATTGATATTCAGAATTTCAATCCTTAGTAATTCATAATACAAGATACAAAATTCATACTTAGATACAAAATTTCATAATACAAGATACAAAATTCACTATATACACCAGGTCCATAGTTCACTGTGAATCCGGTCCAATGGTATAAGGATTGATATTCAGATATCTCCATCAATATTTTTAAAAGGTAAAAAACATGTTTGATCAAATTGGTTCAAAGCCTAACCTGAGTAATAAGTTGCTAAGCTATGATATAATCAAATTGGGGCTCCAATCATGCTATACACCCAATTTTGAGACCCACCCTCACTGGGTTGCTACGTGTGATCCAAACAAACTGGGCCTTGAGTCAAGCAAAAGCCCAAATTTGAAGCCCAACATCATCTCTCCAGCCCATATCAACTCTGTAATTACCATATAAGCATTTTGTTTACGAGTGTGAGGCTCATAAGAAAAACGACATTGGTAAAATGGGCTTTAGTTGTGTTGTCTGGGATGAGAATGGCTCTTTAGAGGTAATGTTTTGGGCTGAGTTCACTTTCAATTTGGATCAGATCAAAGTGGATTCGAGTTCTCATAAATAAAATGTTTAATTTAATATATTATACACTCAAAACGAATAATGAATAAATGAGAAATTAATTTTCAATCATTATTATACTGTGAATCATGATATATAAATTCATTTTTAGTATACTGTAAGTTCATTATATTAGTAAGTTTATTATATTTTTGATATATGTTCATTTTTACTGTATTACATAAAAATGAACTTGTAAAACGTTAAAAGTAAACTTACAATATACTAAAAATGAACTTGTATCAGCTCTTACCTTAACTTGCAATATGGATCATGGTTCCCTATATAATTTGCCAAATTGGTTTTGGTGGTCCAATCACATTCCAAACATAAACAATAATACAGTGCAGAATTCATGATTACTTTGTCTTGTTAGCTGATTGCAGACATACATAATTAATTTACATTTATCAATTTATTCATGTTGTTTCGGGTCTAATCGTAAAACTAAGGTGGCATTGAAAATTTTAGGTATGTGACGTATCACTTTTAATCTCAACTACTTTCAAAATCGTATCAAATTGTGAATCTCTATGTTGATTATAGAGTGGTGTTTTCTTCCTCCTCGATCTTGTCCTTTTCAAGTGTTTGTTCTCTAACAGATCACAAGGATTGTGGGGGTGACATTTGCTTCAATTCTCACCATTAGTTTTTATCTCTCTGTGTGTATTGGCCATTGGTCTCACTTCTTTGCAACAAGAGAGCTGATGAAAGACATGGCCCATGGGACATGAACTCTTTTGTCTTGGTCGAAAACTAACAATAGAAATTGCTTGAAATTCAATGTGTTCTGAATCATGCAAATACAACATTATATTATTGTTACTTGCAGTGTATGCCACCAGGCCACTAGTGACGTTATTTGTATTGAGGTTAATATTACCAATTGATATATAAGATAACGATTTTAAAATCGTTGTCTTTGAGCGTGACTTACACCAACACCATGTTTAACTAACAATCGTTTATAGACAGGTGCGGCCCTGCAGAGTCAGGATTTATTGGTGAATAACAAAAGAGAGGATTGAGCCGCCACTGCTCGTAGCCTGAGTTCACCGCGGTTGCCATCATCAACTGAGGAAACGAAATAGAGGATTTAGCTACCATTTAACTATAATATTTAGAGTTTTTGTTGTGGTGAAGATTGATAGATGAATCCTCTCCAATAAAGAATAATTCATTAAAAAAATCCAAAGATTTAAAGAATAAAAAAGAAATGAAAAATTATCTATAGACTTCAGCTTGAAAATTGAAGAGAAATTACTTGTGTATCTGCTATCTGCCTGTTAGGTTTGGATGGTTTGAGTATAAAATTTACTCTAGAAACTTTCTTGAAGGGAAAAATATTTTGGTAAGGAAGGCCACAAAATAACTATTATAATACTATAATTTTTTTTTTTTTTTTTTTGGGGAGGTCAAGGCCCCTACTGGCTGCTGCTCTATACTAATAAAAAAAATAAAATTTAGGGGATAAGCTAAGGTCCCTTGCAACTCTCAAAGTGGCTCCACCCCGGTCTATAAACAATGATTTTTAACCGTTGTCTTTAATATAAAAGACAACGATTTTTTTAGCGAGACTTATAACAACAATTAATGGACAAAATTCGTCTATAAATATCATGTATAAAAGGGACAAATTTCGACTAAATTAAATAAAACACTATAGTTCTACGATTCATCCCGAGTGACCTATATATTTTCTTCTCATTGCATTGTCTTTACAATCTCATTTGTTACTATTATGAATAAACACCAAAACACTCATTCATGCATGAAATAGGTGAATGTGAAAAACAAAAAGGACTGACGGCATGCACGTTTCATACTTTTCCGGTTTTGCTGATGCTTACCGTCAAGAAAATTTTCTGTAATCGACAAAAAAAAAAAACCAAACCCTCAGCCATGCATCTTTTTCACAGTCATATGAGTCAGCATTAGCATATTTTCTTGTTCGAGTTTCAACATTAATGGCTAAACAACCAAGATTGAGTGCTAGGTTTTACTTTTAAAAATGTCGGACTTTTTCTCTTCATCGGCGGCGGCGTAGAATTCTGCGACGGAATTGAATCAACCACGTTCCTGACTGAGAGGTTGTTTTCACGTTTACGTTGGATAATCTAAACTTTTGTTAGTTTTTTTTTTTTCATGTGAAAAAAGCAAAAACAAAAAACCAGAGAGTTGGTGTTGTTGGGTAAATGGATGAATGGAGTCTTGTCAGATGTCATTATCTGGAGAATAGTTAGGCCAGCTGTATAAGTGCGACCATTATCTGGACAACCAACTTTTCTGGGCATTAAATATATAAATGCAGAATTATTTCTTATCTGCTGTGTCACCAAGGTTGAATTGATGAATTCCTTTTATTTTCCCTGTTTGTTTTTCTGTGATCTGTGGATATTTGCAGTTGGATTGCACTGTTCATGCTGGAAAATGGGAGAATGAAGATCTATCAACAATTCATGCGTTCAGGTGGTCGACCATTTGAGTTATCCGCAAGCAACACGTGGTGGACTGTAGTCGCTTATCGGATGACGTAGAGATTCGAACTCAACCCATGACCTTTGATCTGACTCTAATATCAAGTTGAAGATAGTTGGTATTAGAGATGATAGTTGGATTGCATGTTAATGGCTATATGCTTAACAATACTGAATACTGAAGAGATATGATGGTAGTTGGGGTTTGGAGAGGGACAAGGGGATAAGGGTATGGGCAGGTGATGAAAAGGGGGGAAGAACAGATCAGAATAGACATAGATATGTGGTGTATTGTTGAGTGTCTTTTGCGCAGGGAAATCATTGTTAGTTGGTCAAATATGCACCGATAAAGATTTGACACAACCAAAATTTGACACTTCTTTCAGCTTTACTGTACATTAGGTGGCTACTGCTGCAAGTCTTGAACCACTTTGATATATTGACCATTGTGGAGAAAGAATAAAGACCGGTGAAACAGATCGGACCCAAAAGGATTGGGCTTGCCAGGAATCTAAACTCTATTCTTGCCACAATAGCATGCATGTAGGGTGACCAGGAAAACCTGCGACGGTTACTCGAAGGTGTGCACTAGATAAACACGTCTTAAGGGGTTCCTCACATCCTGGCTCAACAGAAGGAACAGAAGATCTTTTTGCTTTGGACATAATTCCACACTCGAGGGCAATGTTGAAAAAATCGCTAGGCGCCCTCTAGGCTCTTAGGGACCGCCTAGGGCACTTAGAGCGCCTAGAACGCCCTGCCGCCTAGCGCGATTTTTGCAACAGTGCTCGAGGGTGTGCACTAAATAAACACATCCTAAGGGGTTCCTCACATCTCGGCTCAACAGAAGGAATAGCGGATCTGCCCGCTTTGGACATAATCTCACACTGTTGTCACTGAGATTCAAACATTGATCTTTGTTGGAAATATAGCATTAAAATGGTTTTTAAGTGGCTATTTTGTGGTACAATTATCTGTGAGGTCCACTTCCGATTTGGGTCGGGTCAAAGTGGATTCGGGTTCTTCGTAGTGAGACGAAGAGATTGATATATTGTACGCTCAAAACGGATAATGGGTGAATGAGATATTGATTCTCAAAGTAGACCCATTGAGTTGGAAAAATGAAGGGAAAAGTGAGCTTTGTCCCACATTGGTTTGGGAAGAGGATTTGACCCCCCTTTTATACAAGAGCTCTTTTAGAGCTTGTAGAATCGTATAGCATAGAGGCTCTCTCGTGCGGGGGAGAGGGGGGGGTGCAAATCAAATTTCAACTAGAGATGCGGAAATTGGCTGGCTTGGGGTCGAAACAAAGCCTGTCTAGTTTCATGGCCATCCATCCCTATATAAGAAGGCAACGAAAGGAGTAGAAGCACAAAAATTTCGTGTCCCTATATAAGAAGGCAGAAAACAAGCACAAAAACTCTACACGAAATTTTTGTGCTTCTACTCCTTTCTTTGCCTAATTGTGTTCAAGGCTGTTGCTCTAGTTCGCCGGGTTCGCTCGTTTTGTGCTTCTACTCCTTTCTTTGCCTAATTGTGTTCAAGGCTGTTGCTCTAGTTCGCCGGGTTCGCTCGTTTGGGTGCTACGTC